CTCTTTATTATTTAACCAATGCAAAATAAAATTTGGTTCTCTATCAGGATCACCAGTGATCAGACTTGGAACCAATGGAATATCTATAATAGCAATAAGTACATTCAATTTTCCTAATTAAATAAAAATAATAATTCAATTTCTTTGCGCTAAACTATTACCAGTTTCTGCGTTAATACTCGCTGCTAAATGAAAATGCATTCCAGGATAATGTCCGGAACTCTGATAATTATTGTGAAAATCATGAACCGAATAAGTTGATGGTAATGTAGGTAAAGTTGGCGCGGTATGGCCTGCCTGATGTTGTTGTTGTTTAGCGTGGCGTCGTATGTGAAAACAAGTTCTAAAAATGATCGTTAGAATGTAAGAAAATTGTTAAAATTCTTGTACAGTGTTCATGGACAAAAAAAGTTCTATTACTTCATGTGTTTCAAGCGCTGCATAAATCTGTGCTTGTGCATACTATGGTGACGATGTTTACCATGATGACCATGTCTATCCGAACCTTCGAATTGACTCATGTTCGCCAAACCTTCGATTTCGGGTGGAATGGTTTCTGTCCATACGCGGCAAATATTGTCCCGACACGACGTTACCAACATATTTGATACCGAGCCCCTGAGAATTGTAAAAGTATGCGTACATTTAGAATTAATCCACACAACCTCACAATTTTACGTCACACTCTATTCCCTCTTACTTTGGCATATATTTACTAGTTTTTCGCCATGATATGTGAGTTACAGCTCTCGGATGTGCCACATACACAAAGCTGAAACTATCACTTGATACTGGTTGACTAAAATTTGAATGATCTATACTTTTCGTTGGAAACACTATTGAAATAAAAGTAAATTAATGATAATTGTGCTTAATAACATTATGATTTTATGCTAAACTTGAACGATGAATAATCAAAGCAATGGTTACATTATTAATAACTTACATTGTTTATTTTCGAACCAGATTTTAACTAGTCTATCATTCATTCCGGTTGTTGCAAAAAGTGTACCATCAGGACTGAAACTCATTAGATGCACAGGCGTGGCAGTGCGACACTTCCAAACACAATTCCATGCCACTGGTTCGTTTGCTACATTTGTTTCCGAAGGTTGTGGACTTTCAGCCTCGCCTCCGATAGAAAATGTAACCGCTTCAACTGTGAAATAAAATATTCATCCACTTATTTTCAATAAATAGCAGGGTAAATGGTCTCTGTAATATACGCATACACACACACACGCGCGCGCAAGCGTATCCATATATGTTTAATATATGCGTGTATGTACAATAACAAAATTGGACGAATGCTCTACTAAAAAGCTAAGTCAAAATTTGTTTAAATCAAGGAAAATATTATATTTTTAAAGTAAAGCAACTGAGCAGCCTGAAAGCCTGATGATATTGAAAAATAATTTATTACTGTATCATGCTCAAATAATAAAGCAAATATTATTACAAATTTTAATGATACCGATACGATGCTACGAACACCAATATATGTTATAAATTTCAATAAGAGGCAGCTGATAAAAAATAGATGCATTTTGACATGCATTATGCCAAATAAAAATGTTCATTCTTTAAAACGAATGAACTCACGATCTTGCGAAGTATTCCCTGATATGTTTTGTTCGACTCCGGCGTTGGGGGGCTCTTCGAATTGTATTGCTTTTGGTTTTGTAGCTATACATAATATTATAAAGTACAATACCATTGATTTATAATAGAATATAATATTGCACATTAGACATTTTTATTAAATCATTTGAATTTGTATTTAGATTTCATTTAAACTGACAATGTAAATATTATTCTACTCACTTTGTTCTTCTTGGAATGGCAGAATATTTTGGTGCCATAGTTGTAAAAGTTCTCCTCCCGTTAAAAGACGGGTTCCCTCTAAATTCCATGATAGCGAACTGATATTTGATTCTGTTTGCAAGCTTCCAGTTTGAACCCATCGATATTCCAATTGCTAAGAATTATAAATCATAAATTCTAATGACGTCTTTACGACTACAGGAGATATTTTTTTTATTTAATCAATTAATCATTTTATACAAAAATCCACTGAAAATTTAAGGCTTTAATAATAAACTTATAATAATTAAGTGAGTATTTATAAAGTAAGACATTTGTTGGTAATAATAAATAATAATTATAATAATAATAATAATAATAATAATAATAATAATAATAATAATAATCTTCGGGGATAAAATTAATAGAAATTCTCAGTCCCATTGATCAAAATATAATAAAAAAACATTTGCTTCTTTCTCAATACAAATGATTAAAGAATTATCAATGACCCGTGTCAGAGATGCATTATCAATTTATGATGATACAGTATTATTTCTTGACCAGAGATAATTTTACAAATCGTATTTCCATGAATTACAATCGGCTTAAGTGCGCTTATTGTATATGAATTCTTACATGTGAACACGTGTTGTGTATAAGCGGGGTCGGCTCAAAAATGCAGACTTGGTTCTCGTATGCGGCAGCTATTTTGCCAGTATCGGTACTGCAGTCCAGGCAGCTAATCCTTATATAATTATGCACTGCTCCAGGAATTATTTGGACCCGCTCGAAATTGCTGGCGAGAATTACTATATTACATCCAGCCGCATAAGCCTTGGGAGCAAAGACACATTGTTACTAAACTGTCCTCGCTATGAAAATCTTTCAAATAAATATAAGAGCCATAATAATCGACAAGATTGTCTTGGAACGTACTATATAAAATCATTAAAACTATACTTAAGCTAACAACTACAATGTTGTAAAGTTGTGATAGGGCTCTTTATTAAGAGTGTCAATTGATACTTTGAAACGTTCTCGCCTCATTCAGACAATAATTCGCTATTGCCACATCCAGAGCTTATAATGTTTATATATTACTTCGGGCTAAAGGGAAAAACGAAAGAATGTAACGCGAAATTGCAAGGTGAAAGTTCGTTAAAACACGGTGGCGAGGAGGCGGTAAATAGGTATCCCCGAGGCATCATAACACGTCAACGAGTTCCACTCGTGAATTGATTGACAGCACGTCGACAAATAGGCGCGATGAAAAAAGTTCTTTTAATCAGCTGACTCGAACGAAGAGCTAGGCGAGCCAAGTCTCTTCGTCCTCGTCCATCAAAGCGACCCACGCTAATCTCCGTCTCGCTTCTCCTCTTGCGCGCGTTCTCCACCTCGACGCACAATATCGACTATTCGTTCTCCGCAGGAAAAGCTCTCCACCCTCTCTCGCTCACTCCCTATCTCTCTCTCTCTCTCTCTCTCTCACTCTCTCTCTCTCTCTCTCTCTCTCTCCCGTAATCGCGCTTGCGAGATATTTCCTGGTGCCGCGTCAGCTCCATCGATTATCAGCGAGCGGCAGCATACGCGGGTACAGGAGGCCCAGGGTGGGACTCCGCTGGGACTGATAACTCACGGTAAAGGATATCCCCTCGACAGAGCCGACGGCGTAGCAGCGGTCGCCTGCGTTGCAAGCTCCGCTCAGTATTTGATGGCAGTTCATGATAATCCTCCAGCCACGGCCGATTAAAGCATCTTAGGCTCCGAACGTCGGGGCTGCTGGGCCTCGAGAGGCTTGCTACTCTTCTCAAAGGGCGCCCGGGCTCGGTTCGCGATCAACGCCCGAACGACGAGTATCCACCTCAAGATCGCCAAAAGGTTGACGTGACACGGTAATCTAGCAGTAGAGCGGCGGCCATCTTGGAAAATATGGAACGGCTACGGGCTCTGTGCGCCTGCGCCGATTACGCACCGCCTTGCGCCGCAGCCGTGGCCTCGTGCCCGCGACTTTACAAATCTTCCTCCTTTGCCTCCTTTGCACGATTTTACGACGACCCACCTTATCGGCCCGTATCCCTCCCGCCCTGTCGCTCCACCGCTGTCGACGCCGCCGCCGCCGCCACAACAACAACAACAACTAACACTACCGCTACCACCACCACCACCACCACCACCACCACCACCACCACCACCACCACCACCACCGCCGCCACTACCACCCGCTAATGCACCGAACGTTGCGAGCATACGCGCTTCCACGCATTAATAATAATAACCACGACAAAAATAAAAAAAAAACAATAATAAATAATAATAATAATAATAATAATAATAATAACAATAACAATAATAATAGACGAGCGTAGGAGGTAAGATTAGCCCAGGCCAGATCTTTGTGATTCGATTGAGCGCAACCAGTCGCTTTACTGACGCTCGTTTATTCTCGCCAGCTCTTACCATCTGCTCCTTTCACAATTTCCATCCTTTCTTCTTATCTCTAGAGCATCATCGCAAATTAAATGGTTTAGCTTTTCGCTGCTGTTTCGTGGCTGACTTTCGTTAGCCGTGGCAGCCCGTCCCAAGCAGTAAAATCGAGACTATCGAGGCATTAATAATCTTTTAATGCCGTTCTTTTAACATACGAGTTTCCTTTCGCGCGAAAATCTAATTACGGATAAGCTTCCAATCAATTATTGTTTATGGCACTTGTGGTCTCTGTTTGCAATAATATTCGACTCGAATATTTGCCATTTTTATTTTAATGCTGGAAATTTTATTCGCCTATTGTAGGATCACTACAATTAAGTATTTACACGAGACTTAAATAAGTATAGCCGAGTGATACATATTTCCCATCGACATTGTGTACAAAAGCGTAAATGAGCCTAAGATCGTATCAATTGTATTAACATACATACACACATACGTACATAAGTACATACGCGCATATATATATATATATATATATATATATATATATATGTTATTTGAATTATACCAGGAAATAGGAATTGTACATTGAGGACATCAAAATTGAAAATCGACTATTAATTGACTAATGATATCATACATTTTTGTGAGTCAGATACAAAATTAAATATCAGCGGTAAACATGCCACAATATTAATTAATGAAAAGTATGACATATTAATTATTTATATACGATATTAGTATTTTTTGCTTTCTTTCTTTCTTTCTTTCTTTCTTTCTTCTTTTTCCAATGCATTTCGTTTATTAATCGAAAAACATTACGTACAAGCTTTGTGTTAGATAACGATAACACAATTACTCCGATAATTGACAGAGCATTGCAACACCTCGCACTATCCAATGTGTCGAAGGCTTTTCAGTCGGCAATTTCACAGAAATAACAAAATTCGTCGAATGTCCCGTGGTAGAAAGAGTACCTCGTCTTTCGCTTGTCTTATATAGCGGACAGATGTAGCAAAGGCGTTCTACAACATTATCTTTCTTTTTTGGAATTAACCAGATCTAGAATAAAAACATTTGATTTTCAATGATTCGATAATATTGTAATGTATGCATTTTTCCAATGTAATTTTTAAATTTCATGTATTTCAAGTATTTTTCTTTCTCTCTCCTTCATTTTTACTCATTATATTATATTTGCGTACAAGGATTTTATCAGAAAATTTACATTGCGCTTATCAGTGAGCAGTTTGATCTGAACCAACATTGTAAACGTGAAAATATAGTTGAGTAAATATAGTTGGACCTCAAACGGTAGCTGAATAAATCTAGATTTTATTATCTAGTATTTTTTTTTTTTTTTTTTTTTTTTTTTTTTTTTTTTTAATATGACTGGAAGTTCAAGATCATAGGAAAATTTACACTTTTTATCTCGAAAATATAAAAATATTTCTTTATTCAAGGAGAACATTTTCTTATTAAACTTATGCCCATAAATTCATATAAATTTCTTATTTGATTAGTGCGACACAATGTGATTTAAATACAAAAGGAGTAGATTTTTAAATTATTATGATATCATAATTTAGACTGATAAATTCTCTATATTATCCCTTCTCTCTATTATCTATATTAAAATAGTTGAGAAATATTGTTTCTCCTATTGGCTATGAAGAATATTTTATTGTTGTTATTATTATTATTAATTATTTTTCTTTAAAAAAAAAAAAAAAAAAAAAAAAAAAATTCTTTTTTAACATAATTCTGCATAAATATCGTAGTAACTAATTTTACATCACAAAGTGTAATCGTTAAAAGTGTAATCTATTGCTGGATTACTGAAAAGAATATTACATAAGTCGAGAACAAGTAAGCTACTTGATAATACATTGAAATTTATTTCATTGCCAAATTAATGGTTAGAGATTATTATAAATATTCTTTTATGCATTAATGGCCAAATCATAATTAAAGGCTAAACGTCTTAAAATCTCAATACATTGTGTAATTATTGTTAATTAAAACATCGTAATAAATATGTAAATGTGTTAAGAGATAAACAAGCGTTTTTTTTTTTTTTTTTGAAAAGTATTTTAGCCAATTGTGAGTATTATTTGATATATTCAATAATGTATATGGTCAAATTATAAAATGGTTTAAGTTGGTAGAAGGACATTTTCTTTCTACTATAAAGACTTACGTAGGGCATTTCGTTAAACAAAATTTTCGGATAACTTTCTTCAATGATCATTTTCTTTTTATCAAATCGAGCTCCGTCTAAAAAGAGTCCGTAAACATAAACACCATCCTCCGGTGGTTGAGTAAAATTACTTTCCTTCATCACTTTAAAATCATAAACTAATAGGTCAATGGGTATCTGATACTTTCTTGCGTAATTTTGTTGAATACCCGTTAGAAAAGCCTGAGTGAAATAAAATCCTGATAGCCAAAATGTAGGAGGAGGGCCATTATCATACCATAACTAAAATTGAAAGATTTCATAATTCGTGATTTTACCTTTGTTAGAGTACAATATTTTCGATAAACGGCACTTGCTCCAAATGGACTTACTTGTAAAAATTTTAGGCGATTCAAGAAATCATTGACATAGCTATCAAGTGGCTTAAGAGATGGATATGAATTTTGCTTCCAAAGATCAGGAATTTTCCCTATCAGTAGTGCATAAAATACTTGCTCAAGTTCAAAAGACATTACAATGATACCTAAAAATTATTAATTACAGAGTTATTAAAAATAAAAAAAAAAAATAAAAAAAAAAACAAACAAAAAAAAATAAGCAAAAAATGTATGAAATTGTTTACTAATGATTAGCATTATTTACAACGACGATTATTTTATGGCGCAATAAAGATAATTCAGGGGAACGAATACGAATTATACAGATATATCTATATATATATATATATATATATATATTTAGAATCATTTATTACATGATTTATTTATATATAAAATTTCAAGTTCTCGACACATACCCTTTATAGCTCTTCGAACGTTTACGAGACTATTACGAATGCAATTAAGAAGTTTATTGTATCTACCCATTTCTTGAACCAATACTGTATTCATACTTTGATTGTACGACGTAGGATATTTTTCTATTGCATTTTGTAAATTATAATTTTCAGGCAATTTGGATAAAATACCGGAGGCTATTTTGTATGCGATTTCATCATCCGAATCGCCGCCTGCGTCGGTGCGAGATTTTTCCTACACATACAATGGTTATATGAGCATTCGCGCGTAATAAAAATATCTTCTATTATTAAGAAAATAGGCAAATGCGTAGTCTATCGAGTGGGAAAGCAAAAAAAAAAAAAAAAAATAAATAAATAAATGAATAAATAAATAAATAAAATAAATAAATGAATAAATAAATGAAAAAGAGAACAAAGAACGCGAAACAAGATAGTTGCAGTGCATTAAGGAAATCTTACAGTAATTGATAAATTAACATTAAGCAGAAGACGATTGGTATATTAATAGAGCGGTTAAAAAATAAATCAAACTTTATTTTTAAAATCTGTCGGCTTTATTACCCATATGTCCTGATGAACGTCGTGGAGGCAGAAAATGAAATATCAATTGTACAAAATTAATTATAAATAAATTGCTTAATTTTCGTATGCGTTTAATTATCGATTAAAGTAAAGTGTGTATTAATCTACAATGCTTACCAGACGGTCCTGCTTTCAATCATTAGCAATTAAAAGATAAATAGTATGATAATAATTAGTATGATAAATTATTTTAAGGTATTTATTTGTAAATTTCAAAGGATAAATGTTATGTATCGTACTTGAGTTAGTAATAGCGATGAAAAGAGTTGATCGGTTTCTTGATTATCTTTAACGATGTTCGCATTATCATGAAGTCCGAAAACACTAGGTTCCGTAATTATGGGGAATTTCTTCGTGTACGTTACGTATGCGTCGTACTCCTTGAAGCTAGGACTATAATAAATATCGCTGGTCAAGTCAAAATAATACTTGTCTTGTGACAGAAGCTCCCTGCAAAATAACTTCTCAAATTAGAATTTGTTTATTATTATAATCGTATGAAATTAATTGTCGCAAATGATATAAGGCATTACATATTGAGTCGAATTGCATTATTATCTTTAAATTATTATACTTGGGATATATCATTAAATAAATTATATAATCAATGAAATCGGTAAAATTGTACACGCACCTGCAGTAGAATATTTGAAGAATGGCGATGAGTGTTCGACGATCCCAGTCATCGGTAACCCTACCACCATAATTACACTCCCCTGTCAAATAAATCAAAGCATCGTATTGAACGTCATTGTACTGATCCAAAAACGTGTGAAGTTGTAGTACGCTTATTCGCAAATCCGTCTCGTTAAATTCGTATGGGGTATTCCATCCAATGGGCCCGAATTTACGTCTTTCTTGAATCGAAGCATGGAAGAAGCAGAGGGCGTACAAAAATTTCTTGAAGATATCGGTCTGATTGCACGATTCGAAGAATTCCAAATCATTTATTGGATCGCTCATGTAGGACTTGATAATGTTGGCGCGCAAACCTTTTGGCGGCTCGTTCGTTATCTTTATCGCGTTCTGAAGGACCGCAACGGGGAAGTGATCGACCGGATAGCTGGTCAACCAAAGACGAAAGTCCGGATGAATGGTATCGGGCATTAAGCCCTCGCAGACTTTCTCCAGGGTGCCCATCCAGCTTTTAGCCAGATGGCAATTTTGAAGAATGATCCAATAACCATCTTTCACGCCGTCGCTTATCATTTGCATGGCGATCGGTCCCTGACCTAAATAACGAGTAAAATCAACGAGGCCGTACATTATACGACTGTCGAGTAACAGACAGAGAGAGATAGATAGAGATATATATATAGAGAGAGAGAATTTTAAATAGACACATGTCACCTTGACCAAGAGACAGGGAGAATAATTTATTTGATCCGAAACCCTGGTCTTCGGCAAATTTCAGCAAAAGTTGCATTGGATCAGCACCGGGAGTCAATATGAATATAAGCGGTATCGAGCAATTTGAATCTGCGTATGACGATACTAAATCAAAGGGAGGCGCTTCCACGTACTCTGCTCCGAGTTCAGCTGTTAAATAAGCGAACAATTATTCATTTATGTAATTTTTCGCACAATGCTCACGATGCCCACGATGCTACCTATTACAACGTACATTCGACAAAAATGTGCACTGCCGGTATCACTCGATCGGGCCGAAGACACCTTAAGACTAAAATTCTTTCGAATGGCGTTAAGGCTTGGAATGGCTCTGGGAATTGTTCATGTTGCGGCTCCTTGGAATCATAAACAATTTTCCAGTCGTGGCCATCGTTCACGAATGAACTTTTTATACCCTAAAATCATAAACTGTGCATTATCATTCGCATGGGCTTTGTCTCAACGCTCGTAAAAAGTCCAATTTAACACCGATGCATGCAATAAAAAAGCAAATAATGTCACTTTTATAACGGATTATGAGTATTACGATAGAAACCTTAAACTCCAGAATATCATCGAGCCTACAGACTTCTTTCCAAGCTTGCAGGGGTAACCAGATATGTGGATTTGGATACGGATCGTTGAGACTAATGCCACCCGTCAAAATAAACATCCATTGTCTGTTGGACAATTTGCCTTCGCTTTTTAATAGATTGATCGTTAGTAATAACGAGAAGAGGAACTTATCCTTCTCAAAAAGAGATCTGCATATATTTTTATATAGAGAGCGAGTGAAATATTTCTTGAGATCGTTTATACGAATGTCCACTTCCTCCACTTGTTCCGTATTATCGATGGCCAATTTGAAAAGATTGACAAACCAATTTAACGAATACTGATACATTGGATCGATATTTGCTAAGTCGGCTATAATTGAAATAAATAAGTAAATAAATTTTAAGGTAATTATTGATATTTGTTTTTTTTTTGTTTTTTTGTTTTTTTGTTTTCTTTTTTTTTAATTTTTAATTTTTAATCGCAAATTCGTACTCGTGGTGAAGAAGAGAACGGTGCTATACACAGCAATTGGCGAATATTTCAATCTCGTCGAATCGATGGTTTTTTCAGTTACTTCGGCTACCGTTTGTTTCAATTGAATTTCATTACTTAAGGTCTTTGAGGAGCTTAAAACTCTAATGGCTTCCTCATCCTCGAGTAAATCTCCCTCGGATGCCGAAAGAAGTGCTAAAATTTTATCCTCTGTATCTTTCAGAAGTCTGTAAGCAATTTACAATGGAAAAGCGTCATTGATTTGTCGTTACATTAATTCGGCTAATACGCATCTAAAAATATCCTACAAGCGATTACTTTTTATTTGCAGCCCCCTGAATAATCAAAGAATTTTTTTCAGCCTCTAAGTCTGGCCTTTCCTTAGCCACGACGATACCTAACAATTGATCCTCCAACCCATTCGATGTAATCATAAAATTGATCAAAGTTATTTTTACGACAATTTCTGGCAAATAATGTGGATTTCTTAATTTTGTCGTTATGTATAATCTAGAACAGTAATTATCACATATTATAATAAAAAAATATCGACAATTAATATTAATACACACCAAGGACAACGCATTATATAGATTCGTTATTTAAAAAATGTGCATAAATAACAATGGGAATATTAATATGTAAGCATTGATTGTATCATAAAATAAGTAATATTTTAATAAGAACAAACTATTAAAGCCGAAATATCAAGATACATTTGGAGAGAGAGAGAGAGAGAGAGAGAGAGAGAGAGATTGAAAATAATTTTCAAGTGCATGAATTAGTTTTAGCGATTGTAAAAACTTGATATTCCGGATCAAAGACTTGATATTTCTTAGAATCAGCCAACGAGGCAGCAAGTTCATATACCTGAATTCGTCACTATACTCGATCACCGCATCGCCGAGTTTTATACATAAAGTACCGCCTTGTTTGAAAATTTGCTTCATTAATATAGGCTCTAGCATAGCGTCGAGCTCTTCTTCGATATTTTCGAGTAGAACAGGTTGGCCAAATTGTATTGCATTTTCCAAGATTCGCGAATAGTCATTCTGACTTAATCTAATAATACTTAAATTATTCTCTTTTTCCATATTTTTAATCCATTTATTTGCCTGACTTTGTGGATCAATCATTAATGGCCAACGTCTTGTATTTCTGCGATGAATTTCAAACGCGAATTCATAAGATTAAGATAAACAACAGCAGCAATAGCGACGAATATAAATAACATTAGCACATACTTAACAATTATACCATTATCCACTGAAAACGAGTCAGTGGGTAAGCCAAAGATATGCCAAGATCTTATTAAAACAGGTATGCCTAAAATGTCTCTAAGTAGAAAATCTTTTGTGCAAATAATGTTGAGGCTCGTACAAAATTCTACCCAATCCTCGATTTGTTTATTTCTAAACAAAGTCGTAAATGGACCCAAATAGGCAATTACTCCAGATGCTATCATTATATCTCCCGTTAATCGATCGTATCTAGAAAAAAAAAAAAACCATACATTTCACAAAGTTGGTTATAGTTAGAATTATTATTTAATCAAAGTTCAGTTCGTCAAACCAGCTTATCAGCTCATAATTTATGTAAAATTTTGTGGCTCATAAGAACGAGCGTTGCGATGGATCGGGATCGGGATCTTATATAATTATTAATCTCCAATGAGATAATAATCGAGTGCATTGCTTACCTCTCGCCTAGTTCTTTGGCATTTAAAGACCAACGCGCATATTCGCCCCCCAAGCCACCGATCAATTCTTCCGCGCGTTTTAATTTTTCCTCACAGTCCGATACATTAACCATCATCTTCTGATAGTCTGTTTTTTTCGATTGCAAATTGTCTTTTAGTGTGGCTAGTTTCATCTACGATTCGATATTCCAAGGATTACGTTAAATTTCAAATTAATCAAAATTCATCATTCGAGGAAGATTTTTTGTAATTGTCTGTACAACTGATCATGGCTTACCTGAACTTCGCGTAGCTGTTCGCGCTTAATGTTTAATTTAGCCAGAGCCTTATCGTACACAGTTTGGGCCTCGGCCAGTGCTTTCTTTTTTGGTGCGACGACTTTCGTTACTTTATCGTAATCCGATATGGCATAAACCCACTTGCATAAACCCTCGCAAGCGGTCGAGGCACTTTTTATTTTATTCGGATCGAAGTTTACGTTTGTCAAGTAATCCTTGCGAATTTTTTCAATCACTTGTTCCGGTATATTATCTTTATCGTAATTCACTAAGGTATCCAAAAATTTAACGTCACTCAAAACTTTCAACGAGACCTTCCAATAATCCTCCGCAATCCTACCGCTAGGCTGCATTATTCTTTCGGCTTTCAAGTCCTGCGAAATATTACAATAGCATCATCCTTTATATTTTCCTATGTACTTGGCTCTATATTATCAAGCTATTCATAATTCACGCCAATTAGCCGTCTATTAAATAATAATCATTGAACATCACAGCCAAGATATTATAATCACATCGCTAACATTTCAAATACCGTCAAATCATATTGAAATTAAATGAAACAACAAAACAACAACAACAAAAATATAACATTTGTTTTGCCAATATTTAATATAGTTTGGTTATATTACTTTTAAAATGCAAATGCTCTCCATCACGAGTTTTACACCAGCGGGAGGATTTTTCATTGCTTTCACCACAGCAATATCTGCCATTGTGAGGGTATTTAAAGCGCTTTGCGCCTCCAATAATATTGGCATGGCTTCAGCAAGATTAGCATCGCACTCCGCCTTTATTGCTGATGCTTTGGCCGCGACTTTCTATGAAAAAGAAAAACCAAATCTGTCTTCATATCGTATGTAAATTGTAGATATTAGTTGCTTAAATGTATGATAAAGGATTATTAATTATTGGTGATTATCTATGTGAACGATTGAAAAAAATATTTCACTAAACAAGAAAATCGTAATATGTATCTTACGTAGAACATATCGTATTATAGTAAATAGTATCGTAATTCATATGTATATAGTTTTTTTTTTCTTATATATATATATATATATATATATATATATATATATATATATATATTAGATATAATGAATATACTTGCCAACGCAGCTTCCTCGTCAATTTTGACGACTTTTTCGACTTCAGCAACGTCGTTACTTTCTTTTTCAATATGATCAACAATTTTCTGCACATCGTCAGCGGCGGTTACTAAAAGAGGTTGCAAACGTTTTAATGTCTCTTGCATGTCTACAACATCTTGTTGAGTTTCATCCAATCGACAGAGCCCACCTTCGTATCGTGTTTTGCTCAACAATATTTCACTTTAGAGGAACGACAACGAGATTAATATTAAAATTATTCGAAACACCATTGAATGCTAATTATTAATTTGCAAAGTAAATTGTTAGCCAATATTTACCTTCTTTTTATAGCCAAGAGATTTTTAAATGTACTGATTAATTCTAAGTATGATGTTGGTGTAACGTATGTGTGTCTTCCGAGACGATCGAAAAACTCTTTGCTGAGAGATTGCGTTGCAACGTGAAAATATTGGCACATGTCAACGCAAGCTGTAAACTCCAAACTTGTCAGCCGAATTTCACTAAGAAACTTCATTGCTACAGCCGATAGAGCATCTGCTGGCCAAGGCTAAGCAATTATTTTTATTCAATTTAGAAAGCCTATTTAGGACTCTATATATTTATGTATAAAGTATTACACATACAACTTATTGCGGTAAAACTAATAAATAATTACCTGCATCCAATCGATAGTGCAACAGTTAACGAGCGCCGGGAATTTTCTAATTCTATTTCTTAAAGAGTCGCCGATAGGTGACATTGATATTACAATATGTAGCTGATCGCGAGCTATCTGAATGAATAAATTAAAAAGTGCGACGGGACTACCATCGGTTTGTAACGATTTATCACGTTGACGATCGAATTGTCGCATTCTCTCGCAAATTTCCGCTTTCTCCTCGTTAGAAAAGAGATTTGGCACCTGTGAAAACAAATCTTTCATCGATAACGATAAAAAAAGCCTTCCGATGATCAAAGTAAAGCAAAGCAAAACAAAAGTAAAACAAAAAACAATAAAGAAAAATAGTTGCGTGCCTCTCCTGTATTTAGCATATTATTTATATCTTCAAGAAAGCTTTCTTCCTTGATTTGCGAGTCTGTGAATAAAAATGTCGAATGACACTCGGTCGCCGTGGTTTTTATCTGAATTTTCTTAATATCCTCGTGCCAGTCATATTGCCCATATGTTTTAGTAAGTTCGATCTGATAAATCTCATAATCGCAGATGTGCGAGGCCAATCGCGTAAGCGACTGACGTCCGGAGCCACCAACTCCGATTACAAGCGCGTGACTTCTCGGCTGATTAATAATGCGAGCGATTTTAGAGAGATGCTCAATGGCAAAGCCAAACAGCACGAGATTCATTGGCTTCTTCGTCATGGAGTTATACTCGTTCAGATAATTCTCAACTATGCTGCGCAATAATTCCAAGTCCTTAACTTCCTGATAGAGTGGCTGGTCAGCTTTGGGATTGCCAAAATGACAATAAAGCAGATTTCTTAATTCCATTTCACCAACCTACGTACGAATCACCATTATTATTTTCCCTCATATTATTATCGACCTATTATTATCGGCAAGTATCAAGTACAATAATTACGTACTGCTGTATCTTTATCGGCTTTCAGTTCAGAAAATAATGTATCTAAATTAGCGTCCATTTTCTCTGCCAATGTAAGTCGCAGTTGCTGAACAAGCCAATTGATATCATTTTGATCAACCAATCTGTCGCCAAAAACTCGAAGTACCTCATGAGTCCAGAGCTTTTTCATACTGTCGAGGGTGGGCATCGATTCCGGAACTGACAAGAGTACACCCTGAAACAATTTCAACGATTAATTAACATCTTTTCGTCATCGACAAATTATACACAATGTCCGACAAATTACCTGGATTAGTCTTGAAAAATCCCGGAGATTAAATAAGTAGTGCGATTTAGTTGGCGTCGGTAATAAATACATCAGACTCCTCTTATATATATCCAATGTTGCTAATACTATTTGATCGATACATGGATCAAATTCTTTACTAAAGCCTCTAAATAGCAAATTAAAAATAATGTCATTGATTTACTACAATGATTAAATGCAACTAAATGAAAGTATATTACCTTGTGTCAAGATGCCAGAGAACAATTTTGCTGAATATAGCGATCATAACCTCATCAGAAAAGTTGGAAATCGTCGTAACGAAGAAGTGACGTTTAAATCGCGGCGTGATGTCCTTACCACCATTTATAGGAGGACTCATTGCACACATTAACTGAAGCTCGATCAATTTAATTGCTGTGCCATCCTTTCTATCATACCTATTGGAAAATAATCAACAATATATTAAATCGACGATACAACAATTTTGATAAATTAAACTTGTCGGGGAAAATCTTTATTCGAACGGAAGAGTGTGATGATACCATTGGGATTGGTCGAGCAATTGCCTCAGCAGCTCAATGGATGGCTGAGCACCGTACTCCTCCTTCGTCGGCATCGACACATCGTCAACGAAAATTACCCAACGCTTACCCACGGGTGGCCCATACACACCTTTTCTTCTTTTATCCAATTTGCTCACTATAAGATCTTGAATTTGATTGGCCGACGTTTGTGCGGAAAAGTTGATGAATAGTGGCTTATAAATGGACAAGTCGTTTTTCTTTAAAAGAAAGTTTATCGCATAAAAGGATTTCCCAGTGCCCGTTGGCCCAACAAAAAGTACTGGTTTTTGATGTTGAACCAATAGCTGAAATAGCGCCGTATATCGTATAGTTTCCACCGTCGGCACGATTATTTGATTAACGGGAATATCTCTTGAAATCGGAGGCGCATTCATCAATTCGTCCGACCAAAGTTTCCACCTGCCTTTCCCCTATTACACATTTAAATATCCTTAAAGATAATTCGTATAAATATATATATATATATAATTTTTTTTTTTTTTTGCTTTTTTGTTTTGTTTTGTTTTTTTTTTTTTTTTAATTCTATTTCATATGGAGAAGATAAATGTGAAAACCTCTTTGATAAATCTATAGTCAAAAACCAAGCCGCCTTTTGGAATCACAAATATGTATGGTTTCTTGGGTGGTAAGACTGGCTCTGGCAATTGCAAGTCCCTTGCCAGTGACTTTGGAAATTCTTTTTCCAAAAGTCCACGGAAAAGAAGACTGAATTTCTCCCTATCCGACGATATTAATGTACCTCCCATTGCCCAGATACACGAGAAAAAAAAAGATCCCTATAAATAATAATAGGCTTGTATAATACAAGTAATAACATTAATATCGATATTACAGTGTTTTCATTGTTTTGTTTTTTTTAGAAAATTATTAATTGTATGCGACAATTTACTTCAACTTGTGCTCTTAGATCTAAATCACTTGGAGGTGTTATATTCTCGGCTCTATAGTCATCGAGGAAACAATCCATTAAATAAGTGATTGATTGTACGAGATTAGTGTCAGGCATTGGGCACATTTCCTAGATAAATACATCCTAGATAAATAAATGTGTGTGTGTGAAATTTTTTATTTGCAAATAAATTTTTTTTTATACCGTAACGCCCAATCTTCTCAATAGATAAAAGAGTGGCTTGCAAAATCTTAAAAATAGTGATTCGTAAATGAATTTCTTAAACCAATCGTTTAATAGCGAAGGAATCGTTCCAATCCACGACTTTAAATAAGGCGTCCAACCCAAACTGGACGGCTCCATATAAATCATACCTACAATAAGGTTAAACATTAGAGATTATTTATAATACTGATTATTCGTCCTAATAATACATAGCAAGTAACAAGACATAATTATCGAAGTGAGGAATTAATAATGTTAATATGTTAACAACAACCGCATCGTGACACAGTGGCTGGAGATGCCACTTCCAAATCCATTGGCTCGAAAATTAAATTTGTCGTTGGTGCTAGCTGAATGATTTCTCCACTCATTAAGCACAATTTTTTATTATCATCGAGTACAGTATTCATATTTTCAATCCATATCGCATCGATTGGCCCGTCAAATATAAGCCATTTTCGATTGTTATTCGTAGACGTAGCAAAAGCACGATAGCTAATGGCTAAAATACCATCTTGCCACTCGTGAGATACAGGATCAAATTGCCCATACAATTGTCCAATCGTTATCGATTTAGGATTGATTATCGTTATTTCTACCTTGCGCTCATCAATTAAATTCTATAACAGTAAAAGTGCAAGCATAATTTTTTATAATTTTTTTATTTATTTTTTTTTTTTTTACTTCAATCGCCGATTAATGCATAACATAAAATGGAAAACGAAACGAATGAAACGAACGAAACAAGACGATAATCTATCAAGTTAATTCGATAATCAGCCATTATAATTTGTATCGTTGATGAATTTCTTAATTAAATATGCAGTTTAAAAAAGTTACATACTCTCTCTTCGCACAATTCAAGAGCTGCCGCTAGAATTCTATAAGCCGTAGATTTTCCTCCAAAGGGAAGACCGACGATCATAAATCCATGTCGAACTATCATCATTTCGTAAATCTGTTGGATTTTAAATAGAAATTCGGGTACGCATTGAATATTTACACGCCTACATGCTTCGGCAATACATGCATTCAAATCCGTATAATCGGGCTCGGGTAAAACAACACTGGGAAATAGATCCGACATTATTCCCTGTAATATTGTTTGTAATATTAATTATTATATGTATGTGTGCGTGTGTGTGTGTGTGTGTGTGTGTGTGTGTGTGTGTGTGTGTGTGTGTGATCGGCGTATAATTACATTGAATAGTGGGATGTCTGGATTCAAGAATTTCGGTAAATTAACATCCCGAATACTACGTAGCATTAAAATATCCTCGTTTTCATCGGGATATTTTAATTTCAAATTACCAGCTGCTGTTAGAACAGACTTAACGGCTCTCATACCATAATCATAATGGCACTGAGTTGATAATTGTTCCGAACACAAGCGATATGTCGTAACAATTTTCACGGACAATGGTTGGGCATTATGGAAGCCAAAGGAGTACAAAGTGTTTTCAGCGATGAGACCATAATTTGGTACCTATTTATCGAATCGAGTAACATAATGGTTAAACGTGTCGTAAAATATATTATTATTATTATTATTATTATTATTATTATTATTATTATTATAATTATAAAAGTTATTTATTACCATCATGGCTACTGAGCGAAACAATGCCTTCAAGTTATCTGGCAGTTCCGATCTACCAGCGTATCCCGGATTCATAGTAATAAATATAGCGCATGCCGGATTTACATTTAACGTCGTTCCTTCGAAAATCAATGTATCTTGCTTCGCACTTATTGCCCTCTGAATTGTTAAAATTTGTTGAGCTACCACTGAAAGTACCTCTAAATCGATACGGTTAAACTCATCAAAACAGGCCCAGGCTCCAGATGCTGCGAGTCCCTATTATTATTATTTTTTTAATATATATATATATATATATATATATATATATATATATATATATATATTTTTTTTTTTTTTTATTAAAATCATAGTTCTAATGATATTTTTAAAAACTATATAATTAAAAAAATATCTGATGTAGATTAATTTAAATAAAACTTTTTTTTTTCTTCACTTCCTTAACTCTATACTCTACTAATTTACAAAAATAATATCAAATTTTATGTACAATTATTTACTTTGAAGAATTTTCCAAGAGCAATGTAATCCAATCCATCGGAGCAATTGAATACAACGCACTGTTTGGCAACTGCTTTCGCCAAATCTTTTGTGGTTTCAGTTTTTCCGGTTCCTGCCGGACCTTCCGGTGCACCACCAAGATTTAAACACAGTGCTCCAAAAAGTGTTCGATAACATCTATCCGTTAATGGCGTTATAACGAGCCGACCGGTATTTCCCAAATATTCGTAACCGTAATGAAGCGAAGCATTTATCATCATCGTAATTAAATTTTTATCCTACAATAATGTAGCCTAATAATTTCATCGGTAAAAAGGAATCTATTAAGAATTTTATTATTATTAAGAATATTTACCATCCAGTAGTATCTCAATTGGCTGATCCATTTAAAGTCAGAAGCGTTGTTAACATCACTATTGCACAATTCAATTAATACGTCTCTCGCGTGCACATCCAAAGTTACTAAAGCTTCTGCAAGATATTTTAATTATTACATGAGATGAGCATTTTCTTAAAAGCATATTTTTTATAGGTTTTTTATCTTTATTTTAGACGTAATATTTCGTTGACAATAAATTTACGATAAAGCATTTATAAAAAATTATGCAATTCATCAGCAAATTTCTTAACCGAGTCTTTAATAGAAGATAATATTTTATTATTATGCTTAAGCACGAAGAGATTGTAAAAAATCTTAATTTTGACGATATAATATGTAATATTATAAGTAAAATGTAATGGAATTAATGTAATAAAATTACGAAGAAAAAAAATTAATTAATAGGAAGAATTTCATTTACCAAGAGTCGTACGGTTTTGCTTCGATAATTTGCCTCGCACAAGTTTTACAATTTCTCCCAATTCGTCGATACAACGTTGAACATAGTTCTTCAGACTAACTGGTGCTTTAGGCATTGCATTTATCACATCGGAGGTCCAATAGAGTTGTGAAATACATAAAATAGTCTGACCCGGCCAATCCAAGACCCAATCTTTCCTCAGTTTTTTTACATACGCGTTCTTTGCATGAATAACCTAAAATGAAATACTTTAAGCCTACATATCTCCTTCAATCTAATATTTAATACTTATAGATTTAATGTATGTGCACGAGTCTATTAATTATTTTAATGTAATTTTCTATTTTTTAATAGTTTTATTTTCTATTTTTTAATTTTTTGATATGATTTGATTTGATAATATTTGAAGCTTCCGTACGCAAACAATGCTACATTTGTAAAATATATTTGTTAAAGATAAGGGAATTTCTACTGAAAAAGTTAATATATGTTTCAAATAATTTTGAAGCGCTTATATAAAATATCAATATACGAATAAATATAAAATTAATTAGAAATATACCTGAGCTCGAACACTTTTTTTCATGTATTTCTCTAATTCCACTAGCCATTTCTCTACTTGACCTTTGGCAGCTACAGTATCGATAAGATTTTCTAAAATAACTTCTTCACCCTCGGATGAGATCATGGTGGTAACTTTCAAATCTTCGGTAAAGATTAATCTTGCTATGCCTTCGAAACATTTTTTCAAATGTGGCTGCACCCTGTTTAATTGTTAGAATAAAATTGTTATACAATATCGATGCCTAATACGTTGACAATGAGGGTAATAAACTTACCGAGTTGGATCCTTAGTTTCCGAAAGAATTTCTAATAATTCATCATTAGACAGAAAGAAAAATCTTGGAAAATAAAGTCGTTTCTTTTCCAAATATTCATTGAGACCCTTTTGAATTAATTCCAACAGATTTGTTGATTTTTTCAGCCTTTCGAGCATCTTATCGATTTCAATAACAACCATCACATCGGGATTTTCTTCTACGTTTAACATTATATCTCTCCATATCTACATTAATAAAATATTATTTCAAAAAAAAAAATTTTTTAAAAAAAAAAAAAAAAAATACATATATATATATATATATATATATATATATATATATATAAATAAACTTTGTAAAACATTAAGGGTTGTCAAGTCACATATTACCTAAAATACCGTGAATGTGAGAATTAATAATCATGAAATTAAAAAAAAAAGGAATAATATGTTTAAAATATAATGAAGAAAGTAAGAGCCGAACAATTATTACAAACTTTATCGACTGCGCTGAATCTTCGCCCTTCCTCCGGCATTTGTTGTTGAATATCCGGGGACGAAAATATTGGTTCGAGATACATCCAAGTTGCTTGTACTTTCAACCAATAGTCGATGATATCTTGAAGTAAAAGCAATTTTACTTCCCATTCCCTAAAATGAATGAATTCCCAAAAGTTTTATAAAAATATTTTCAAATATTTATAATTACGACTGTCGGACTCACAATGTTTCCTTTTCAAATGCTTTAATATAAATTGAGTTCTTCATTGTTTGAGTTTTAGTGACGTGATCGTCCAATTGCAATTGAATGTCATCTATTCCGGAAAAAATAAATGTTCCCGTGTCTCGATAAATACTCACAATAAACTGAATGCCAATCCATTCTTCGCGCATCTTTATAAGTGCTTTCTCCAAATTGTTCTCCTTTGTTGCTGCTTCCGATATACTTTCAAATTTAGGGACATAATCGTCAAGCCCAAAATCTATAATCTATCGAAAAAAAAAAAGAAAAAAAAAATCATATGTTCACATTATCAATGCTCATATTGATATTCTTATTAATCCATAGCTTTTTGTTTTTTTTTTTGTTTTTTTTTTGTTTTTTTCTGTTTTTTTTTTTTTTGTTTACAGTTCAATCACAAATAAAATATATAAATTGCAAAGATTAGCGTCAGTAACAGGCACGTTCAGTTCAAGTAAAGTCTAAGATAATGGAGCTTTATATTTTTGAAATCGGTACCTTGGATAGCGTCGTATGAATATCGACTTTAATTGGAAAACCGACAATTTCAGAAATTAGTTCCCAATGTCGAGTCTTCATTCCTGGATTACCTAACGTCATAATAACGGGCATGTGTTCTCTGAATTCCTCAATGGTTGTACTCACAATCTCTGATAATTTTCGAAGCGCCGGCACATTGAAGCTTTTCGACAATTTATATATAGAACGAATTGCCGTGCCAGAGTCATTTTCTATGTCATCTGGATCGTAACTACCAACCATTGAATTCATCCATTTCGAATAGTTGGACAGAAATTCACAGGCAATGTCGTAAAATTTTTTATACGGCGTTAAATTATCGGCAATCTAAGATAGGAAGCATTTTAATATGATTTGAAATGACAATTGAATGTGCCGACATACGGCCGATTTAATTATTATGTCAAAATGTCGAATCCTTACAGTATCGAACCATTTTTTCATTTATTTTACTAATCGAATATTTATTTAGCATACGCATTCGCTTTATTGCTGGTAAAGATGAACTTTTCATAAAATTTATAATAAATACGAATACTATTATTTGTATAAATGCACAAGTATATTTGATTAAGATTGTTCAGCGATTATCGTCATATTATAACTTCATTAAATTTTAAATCAAATTATAATTACAGAGAGACTTAAAAATAAGTTAAAAACAATAATTGAAGGCCACTTTATGCTATTGAAATAACAATTATTTCATTACCTTCTTTCGTAAAGGATACTGTGACAATTCCCAGCCAAATATTTCTTCCTCTTTATTAAAATTATCTATAGCTTCCAGTGCATTAATCAAACGATTATTTAATCTGTCTGCTTTTTTCTTATAACGAAAGATTTCATCGATGTTATCCCACCACTGCATTTCATCGCCCTGTTTTTTATATAATTTTAGGTCCTCGTGAAATTCTTCTATCCGCAATTTAAGAGAATATTGGAATTCTCCGATTTTACCGGCGACAATTGCAAGATGCTCTTGAAAAATTGAGGACATTCGATGATACCTAAGAATATATTTTATTTCAACTTACTTATTAGAAAATAAAACGATAATGTTTTTGCAAAGAAACATCGGACGATGATGATTTTACCATTGAAAAGCTGAATTATTTGTTTTGATTTCGATCGATGACATGGGCATGTAACGAGATGCAAATAAAATGTACTTCAAAATTTTTCTCAATTTTTCTTCCAAATGTTTTACCATTTTAGTCTTGGCATTTTTAACAAAAATAAAAAGCTCCATTAATTCCATGGTATTAGAAGGAGTACTTATCGCCGTATTAGTTATATTCTGATACTCTTCTACAATTCTGTAAAAATCTCCAAATTATTATATAATTTACTTAATTATGAATATACCTGTACATATATATATATATATATATATATATATATATACAGATAAATAAAGAGAAAAATAGGCTATACAATATTATCATATTGTTTAAGCATAAATTTGATAATTGATATAAAATTCATTAGGAAATTTGAAAATTTTGATGTTGCTCAAAGTGAGTTTCAATTCTAGTCAATAATAATTTCAATTTTCTCAATTTGAATGACATTTTTCTTAACATAAAAGAAACTCAACAAATTACTAAAGCTTCCAATAATGTACTGATTACATTATATTAAAGCATAGCTTATTGCAGTTTTGATTCATTAATTTATAGACAGATAATTAATTTATACCTACGCTTTTACTTTCAGCTGATAATCCGAAATCACTTTATTCACTAGCATAGTTTTACAATTGTTGGCATATTGCGATATGAAGTCGATTAAATCTTTCTTGCTTATTTCAAATCGATCAAAAAACGTTGTCTGCTCGGAAACCAATAGAATCTCTCGAGAAAGATCATAGTATTTATCGATTAGATCTTCGTACTCTTCGAGTGTATGATCATCATTTAGAAACGCTTGAATGAAATTGAATTCCTCCATATTAATAAGATTCAAGTACTTGTTAAAATCTTGGATAAAAAATTCCGTTTCCTTCTTATATTGTTCAATAAATTCAATAATTTTTGAAGAATGGAGATTTATAAGATTCTCTGAAATGTATGGCTATTGCGAAGTTTGCGTTATATTATTTGACTTACTAAAACACTTATATAATGTAATTGATTACATTACCTTTAAATACGTATGATTATAATGTTTAGTTTTTGGTATTAATTCAACATCAACGCGTTTAAATGTATTTACAGACTCGTGAAGTAAATTTAAGAGATTTAGAAATATATTGCTAAACAAATTAAATGATGGCTCAAAGGATATAATGTTATTTTTTGGAACCATTTTTATATAAAAATTGCATGTATTTTCCTATTAAAGAGAATGTTATATACGATTAGCTGGAGAACATTTTCAGATAAAAAAAAAAAATCCAACATTATTTCGTCAATCTTTTCCTATAAATATTTATTACCCTATTATTCAATAAACAATCCATATAGGTGTCCATTGATTTTAAACAAAGGCAACGTAATTGATCTTCCATCATTATTGCCAGGCATTTGAATAATTTCTTAACATACAGTTTATTTTTTTCAATCGGTATAGTGCCTTTCTTTATAGCCTGAGAATATTGTTAAAAAATATACGTATTTAATAACTTTAATAACCATAACGACAAATCACAATGCGGCTAAACAACTTCTTACTTTTTGGAATATATTGGTAATTTTTGAAAGCCATTTTTTTTTTAGAAGGGCTTTTACATCGTTTATCATCTGTATAACTCGATTATTAAATATATTGAGTTCATATGATTGACTGTTGTTTAGCAAGATTTGCTTGTCAATTAGATTTATTGTACTGTAAATAATTGTTAATAATTTGCTGAAGAATTTGATGTTAAATTATTATAATCGTCAATTTAATTGATTATGTTTTACCTAAATTCACGAAACCAAACGTCCAGTGCCTTTCGAATACAAGGATGGTACAACTTTAGGATCTCTTTAAGTTTCCGTTGTATTTTTCGAAAATTCTTTAGTCTTTCACACTTTAGAGAACTTAAATTAACGTCGATTTTCTGCGAAATATGTGATTTATAAACAAATAGTTTACATTTTCAGTTTACCTGCATAAATAAAAGTAAAATTAAAATTTAACTAAATGTATAGCTAAAATTGAGTAACCTGTTTTTCACAATTATCGTCATTGTCATGGGATTCAAAAACAAAATGCACTATTGCAGTCTTAATACTCAAAATATAACATTCTTTAATTTCCTTAATAATTTCCTTTGTTGCTTTTGGATATTTTTCTTTCCATTTCTGTGGTACCAATGCCAATATACCATTTAAATCATGGTTTCCTATGGGCAAAATATGTTCGCTCCCTATAGATTGCGTAATGTATTCGAATTTCAAATATTCTATATCTTCTCCACTCATATTATCATTATATTTTTTCATCAAATTATCATGGTTCCTTGTGACAGCATCGATCAATTTTTTTCGAAACTCCCTTCTCTTTTGTTTTAGTGATGTATAACAATTAATTTTAAAAATCCTTTCTTTTTCCTTTTGTATTTTCATGCTTTTGCTCTTATTTGCTCTATTATATTTTAATCATCAAATACAAATAATTATTTTATAATAAACAAACGACAGTCGCATATTATAGTTACTAACACATGCTACGTTTAAATAATGCCGTATTCTTAATGCACAATCATTTGCTCAGAATAATTAAATATATATGTATATATGTATTATGTGCATATATACATATGTAATGTATATTTTTAGAAATTGTGCATGTAAAAATGTAAAAATGAGTCCTGTTTTTAATAAATGTTAGGTTAGAATATGAAGAAGAATGCGGCCAAGTGCGTTCGTTAACTACAATATATTAAGCTATAAAATATATGAACTTTAGTTTAGTATGTAATATAAATGATAAAACCTTGGTATTTTCTCCCTAGATAATAAATTAAAAACTTGTTCCGGTACATTGAACATTAAAAATTCAGCAATAATATTATTGATTTCTTCATTGAATTTACTTTTATGGCATTCAAATTTTTTTAATTTATGAATATTTGTTTCGTGCAATTTTCGAAATTCACTTATACTTGAATTCATGATTATCCACACGATTTTTTATTAAAATTCATAAACATGTGTTACTCGTAGTACCTTGAATATTATACGTATGCGTTCTTGAAGATAATGATTTGTTTCCATAGTAACATTATCCAAAAAACCGTTCAGTTATTCTATCAGAATTTTAATTTGATTTGATATCTTTACATTAAACTTAACTATTATGAATTAACGGATAATACTATTTCTATAAATAAAATATTCAATCATCATTTCCCTTGCGATGTTTTTCTTGCAGGTTTAGTAAGTATAATTGTCAATATTTAAAACAATATTCTATCCCTACAATCGCCTAACTTTTTTTAATTGTTTTAGATTTAATTTTTTTTTAGAAAGGATATTATTTAATTGCAATTTTATCCTTATCATTAGTGATGCTTTATTTAATTATTGTCGTACAAAATTTCGACAACTTTTTGAAACTTTTATTTTTATAACAGTACTGAAATTATAAAAAATAATTAAAAACGTATTTAAATCAAAACGTTTAAACGAAATTATCTTTAAACAATGTAAATTCTTACTACATTAAAGAAACGAGTAGAGATTAATGATAAAGAATCTAATCTAACATATCAGCGTTGAAATTGTTAGTTAAATAAAGTTTGAAAAATTTTTAATCACAACATTTTTTAAATATACATTCAATTTCTTATTGCAATATATTTTATTAATATTTTGCAATACTTTGCAATTCATCGAATAATCTATGTATACAATATAATAGTGACTTGATCGTATTAAAATATTTATTCAGATATACACAAATAATATAGATTTACTTGCATCAAGAAAATAATGTTTTCGCTAATGAATGCAAATCATTGACATTATTATATAATTCATATATAATCATTGAAATCTTAAAATTATCACTAGAATAATCTTTATATATATAAATTCGAATAAACGATATTCAAATGAAAATTTAGTAAGAAAAAGCAAGTAGAATTTAAAAGGTATGGAAAATTTAAACAACATATACAATAAAAGATTTTTTAAATTGTTTTTTAAATATATTTAGATTTACACTGTACAATTATTTATATGATTATTATGATATAATATACACATATTTTATGCGAAACGATACATCTATTTTAGGTTTATTAGTATTAAGTAACAAAATATTAATTTTTAATTAATACTTTATATGTATTATATCAGTGATTGTCGCTCAAATTATAGATTCTTTTTTCTCTTTTCATCTCTTTACACATACATATACATTATAGCCTAATAATATTGAACATAAAATTATAATTTAGTTTTTGATTATCATTGTTAAATCAAGGCCTTAAAAATGTGAATTATTGCAATAATTAATTATATTTTGTCAAATGAACGAGCGTAAAAACATATAGGAAATCTTTGGTTAAGTATTTACGAACATATTACTTTCAGTTAACATTCATGTATCTTCATAGCATAAAATGTAAATTCTCAGGTACACTGACTTGACGTAAAAATAATTTCTGTAAAAAGTCATAAAGAAGCGTAATAGGTTTAAATAATAGTCAAATGTCCTCAAAGTTTCATATAAATTCAATTCAATACTTAATCATAAATACGTTACAGCATTTGCAATGTGGACAAGAAGGGACAAGTTTATTCATTCATTTTCCGCCAACTTATCAATAGTATAGATTACAAACATCATCAAATTAAGTCGCATGTACATATTATATTTATAATGAATTATAGCACTGTCCCTCTGTGCATAAATGTATTTACATTTTACTCATACGAGAATAAGTCCTTAAATGTATATAATCCCGAAGTGAATTAAATTTCACAGAATTAATTTAAAGTATTTATATACACGTTTATGCGCGTGCTTATACGTATGCTTATGCGTGTACTTATGCGTGTGCGTGTGTATTCTTAACATCCATTTGATGCATTTTATTTAACTTTATAACAGAAGTTTTACGACATAATGGAAAACCTAATAATGAAATATTAAAAGATATAATTTACAGTAAAGAATAATTGATGATGTGTGTATGCACGTGTTAGGTTTGGTTTTTTACATTCTTGCGTGCACCCGCAGTAAACACGCCTGTCTGACTGTATATAAAGCAGATAGGTATACGGCCTTTATAACAGTTTCTTGCAAATAATCGATACTCGTACTTGGATGCTATTAAGTACTCTAATGACGTAATCAAATATACCTTAGGGATATATGAAATATAATAATATCACTATCTTTTTATCGTTAATTGCGTGCCTTCTATTAGCTATTCGTTTATGATTTTTTTTTTTTTTTTTTTTTTTTTTTTTTTTTTTTTTTTTTTTTATATTCCCTTTAAATAATTACATTAATTGCGTTTAGAATGAGCCATTTAATCAATTTTGTCAGGAATCGAGATATATTTTACAAGACGTATTGGTTTTTTATCCGTTTATTACTTTTATTAAAACAACAACAACAACAACAACAAACAAACAAACAAAAAAACAAAAAACAAAAAAACAAAAAACAAAAAAACAAAAAACAAAAAAACAAAAAACAAAAAAACAAAAAACAAAAAAAAACAAAAACAAAAAAGTGAAAAAACATAACATTTACCTGCCTTATATTGCTCTCGGAATCGTATAATCGCTGAATTATTATATTACGTTTCTTTATTAATTTATTAATTAGAATACATATACTAAAAAATCTTATTCATATAAGATGTTCGTAATGGACAAATTATATAAAGGGTCTCGGTAATATTACGATAAGATTTATGTTTAAAGGGAATTCTTTACCATTCATAAAGTCATTAGTTTAGTCCATTTTGTACAGTAACTTTCACGATACGTCACGTCAGTCGCAACGGCATCGACACTTTTTCCAATTGCCAATCCGAGAAATATGATGCTTTGTAGCATAAAAATGTTTTAAAATACTAGAGCGTGTAACATCAAGTCATCATAAAGAACGAGAAAGGGAACAGAAGAGTATCGAGGTAGTATAGCGTGGACATCATCCCTTCGTCGTCAAGCAAGACAGTCCAAGTAGGTAGTCGTTCGGCTAGAATATCTCGTCAACAGTCGGGGCTAAGTGCTGCGTAAGTGGGGCAGGGGGGATGATTAACCCTTGGTAGAAATTTTTCAGCTCCGGGGGTAGTTAAGGTCTTGTGAAGCGATACCGGAATGGTTGAGCCCAGGCGAGTAATTCTAAGGGAAGAAATGCATTTTTTTTTTCTATGAAACTATCGATTTATTTGGTAAGCCAGTGCCTATACTCAAATCTTCATAGATCTCTCGATATTATTCATTGTGGTACATCCGTTATTTCTTAAGTACATTTGTCATTCGATAAATTAAATAATTCACATATATTATAGAGATAATTAACCAATGTTCAGGTTTAAAATATTGTAATACTAAAACTTTCAGTGCAGTGCAATGCTTTTAATAAAAATATATTATATAAGAAAGATGACATGTTTGTATTTGAGTATAGGAACCCTTAATCATTAACCATCAATTCTCTACACAACTACATATTAATAAGATTATTAAAAGAAACCAATACATTTTACTAAAAATTCTGAATACAAGCAGAGTTATTCAAATAGCGTATTGTAAAGTTTATCAATTATTTCATTATCTATCCATCTATCTATCTTTTGTACAATACTCATTTATTCATTCATACGTTCTTCATTCAATTGTATCTAATTTATCAAGAGGGAATTAAATAATTTATGAAACATACACATACACGTCTTATAGCTAAAACAACACGATCTATCTATTATTTCAATTATCAATTAATTATTAAACAATTAATTCATAGTTTTATATCAATTAATTACTAAACAATTAATTTATAGTTTTATATCATTCTACTTGTATATCGTGCACAATTATTATGATTTACCATAAACGAAATTCATTCGTACTAGTTCATATTGAAATCTATTATGGTTAATGATATCAAGCGTGATAATTCAATTGTGAAGAAAAAATGGATCGAATGTGCTTCCATTTGTAACATGAAATTTGTGAGAACAGCAAGTACAACAATATGCGGTTATGCGTTGTTTTGGCCTACAAAAGATAATGCTTACTTCTCATTTTTATAACATGAATGCCGTTTTTTTTTTCTTCTTCTTTTTTTCTTTTTCTTTTTTTTTTTAATATGCTTATGCAGTGCATTAAAATATTTTTGATCGAAAGAGCGTTGATGTATCGGGAGAATTATTTCTTACGAAAAAATATAATAATAAATAAAGTAGGAAATGGACGCCGTTACGTATATTGTTTATGCATTTAAAGCTCTTTAAGCGCCACTAGTTCTAGTTAAAATTCTTCACACAATGATAAAGTATCTACATTTTCCAATACATCGTCTTGACTTTTAATTGGCAAATTTGTCGTGTTTTGTATTGTTTTGTTGTTATTATCTTGCTCTGAGTCTATAGTGAGATTGTGACGATGACTATGATGATTATGATGATGGATGTGGCGGATAGATCATTCCCACAAAGCTTAAAAATTCTGGCCTCGCATTCACTCTAAGATTTACCATTGTTGTTGAAACAGGGAAAAACGGCGTTCCATACGCGATTGCAGAAGCCGCGCGCTCGATTATTCCAACCGGCAATCGTTTCCGCACCTTTGAACTTGTTACCTGCATAGCGTTAAATTTATACATCATTTATTTATTTATTAATAATTTTGACTGGAAGTTTGAGGAGAAATAACGTCATTTATATTTATCTGCATTAATGAGATATTTCAAATGGCACAACAAGTTGATTGATGAGATTTTTCATTAATGTTGCTTTAATGGAGTATATATGAGATAATAATATATCTAACGCCAACGTACCTTCTCCATGAGCATTAGCATTCTGAAATGAAAGAAGAGGAGGCGAGTTAGATAAAGTGTAATGTAAGGAATAGACGCGGCAGTTAGTCAAAATTTGAAAGTGCATGGTAGGGAAAATGTCGAGATGCTGATTTGAAACTCACTTGCTCGGCCCTTTTAGTAGCCTCGAACGTAGCCGTTTCAATGACTTCGGTTACGAACTTATTGGTCTCCTTCATGAGCTCTTCGTCCTTCTTGAATGCAGCCACGCGCTCCTCCAGGCTTTCACCGCTGTTGGCAAACGTCTTATCGCAATCAGCCGCTGATGGCGAGGAGAACGTCAATTTCATTCGCACGCTCATCTTCGAGGATTGTTAGCCGTCGTCGGCTCCTATTCCATATCGAGTAACCTTCGATGTCCTGAACTTGTGTCGCACGAGGCCGAGGCTAAAAATAATTCGATAATGTCGAAATTACGTCCTCAATCGCAGCCCCGTTTCTTAAACATTAACAGGCTCGAGCAATTACGCACACGCTCGTCGTAGGCTCGCACAGTGTCGGACAGATCGACAGACAGACAGACAGACAGACAGACAGAGAGAGAGAGAGAGAGAGAGAGAGAGAGACAAAGATGAGCAGGTGCGTGTAGCTAATTGGCACGATTGTCGACGAGTGTCCTTCTCATCATCACTCTCAGCGATTCAAAGAAATCGTTCGAACGAACCGCGTGCTTGATCCTTTCCATTCGGCAAACGTCGCACTTTTCCGTGTCGCCGCCCGCGGCGTCGAGAAAGCCCGAGATGAGATATTTGGATTGGACTCGCGTGAATAGTAAGTAGGCCAATTGGCCGCGTCGCTTCCAATCGGCCGCGTGTCGACACTCTCGCGCACTCGACGAGAACTCGGGGCGTCAGTGCGCCGAGTAGCTCAGGTTCCGAGGTTGAGGTGAAGAAGAAGGAGGAGATAAAGAGGAGGAGAAATAGGAAGAGAAGGTCTCAAATCGTCGTCGTCGTCGTCGTCGTCGTCGTCGTCGTAGTCGTCGTTATCGATAACGCTATCACCACCTGTAGCTGTCGCACACCCCCGCTCCGAATATCAGCGTGTCGCGCTCCTCGGCTGCGCCACCCCGTTGCAACTCATCCTCGGGAACGAGAGGACGAGAGAACGCCTCCTCGTGTCGGGCTCTCGGTTAATGATCGCGTCTGGCCTGGCTCGTCCCTGACTACTAGCTCCGGGGTGGGGTTGGGGGGCTGGCTGGCTGGATCCCCGCTGCTTTTCTCCCTCCGGATAATTGCGCGCATGCGCGCAAGTATACGTACGCACCAGAGCCCTGCGAGATCCAAAGCGGCACCCTCCAAGCGCCCCACCACGAAACCTTCTCCTTCGCTGTGACCCGCGGATTCTTTCGGCCGTGGTCTCGAGGAAGAGCCTCCTCAAGCTCGAGCGGCGGTCGGCCCTTCCATTTCATCACGCCAACTTCATAAACGAATAGCTTTATCTCGCAATGGCACGTACGCGATCCTTTTATTTCACTCGCGAACCGACGAGTGCGCCATTAATTATCGAATCGATTATTTTACGCCTCGACGGTGCATCGAGCGGCAATGTCGTCTAGTATAATGAACGGCTTTGTGCGTGCACGTCGCCGCGGCTCATCGACACCTCAAATTATTGCATCCGGATATTTGCAAGGGACGCCTGTAATAAAAGCCAGTTGGCCGTTCAAGTACGGTTAATGGGGGGGGGGGAGGAGGAGAGACTGGGGACGGTAAACGCGGGGCAACGTATAAATGCCTTCGTCGACGATTAAGCAAGACATCGCGCGACATATATGCGAGGCTATTAAGAGAGCCATTACGACAGCGGGATAAGTCGAGAAGCAGCTCGTTAAAGTAAATTAAATATTTATCGGATCGGTGCATAAGGTAGGTAGGTACTTACTGGCTTGGGCGGAGACCGAGCTTTCTAAAATTAAACAAAACGTAATCTCGACTGGGGGGCGAAACCATGCTCCCCACCGTGGCGCGAGGCATCTTTTCTGGCAGCGTACCTCACCAAGGAAAACAAACACAAAGCACAAAGAGGCCGAAAGAGCCAGTCGCGATAAAACTTTGTCAAAGAGGATGGAGTACACGTGCTCTAAATGGCCTTTGACCCGAGCCTCTCTAATCCGGTCCTCCTGGCCCCTCTGCCTCGCGAACCCTTCGCACCTGACCCGAGCATCGACCCGAGCGACCGGCCGTTCCACGTAATGTGCGTCCTTAGCCCTCTGGCTGTTCTCGAATCGCGCGATCCCCTCCTACTTATCCGATGGATACGTCAATGATTGTCGATGGTTGGCACTCCATAGCGCCCGGCACTTTATCCGCTTTTTCATTCTGCTCCCGTTGATCAACGTATGCGCCATATCCCCGGTCCGCTAAATCCGCGCTCGGCAACTGCCAAGAGATGATTTGTTAGAAGCAACGGTGGGAAAAATCTGCTTCCCCGTGTAAATATGAATAATAAATCCGAACGGGACAGATTCATTATTTACTCCTATGGCTATTGTTAAAAGGGGTGTGGGTGCGCGATGTAATTTAGAATTGTGTTTATGAAAATTTCATTGCGACGCGATATTCAATTGAGCTCGTTCATTGTATGGAGATACGAAGGGATGAAATTTTACGAATATTTCAACATTCGTAATTGTATGCAATAAATAATGCTCGTAACGGTACGCTATAAAATTTTTAACGCATTACGTCTATGACAAATACTCGAGACATTTCCCAACACGAATAAGATATTTCATTCGTGGCAACAATAATTTCAAGGTGATAATACACCTTAAGCATAAAGATACACATAGCAATTGTTATTGATTTCTTGAACAAATAATAGTCAAATAGAAATATGTTTATTAATAATTTTACACAATGATCTTTAGAAGAATTCTTATGTATAATCATATTTGTAAGCTTAGAGATGAAGAGAAAATATCGAAATTGTCGTAGCGGGCAATAGTGTCAGATTTTTTATTTGTCAGTCGCAAAATTACAACGACACATATGTGAATTGTCAAATTTTAATTATAAATTATGAATGCATTGATTATAATGTTGTAAGCCATAAGAATGTGGTAAGGATAAACTTGTGGCTACAAAGCTACGAATCTAATATTAAAGCCAACTACAACAAATCATTAATGATATTATTTATAAATATCAATGTCACTCAACGATAGGTAATCCATTTAGGTTTGAAAATAATTTTATTTCAATTGAAAACATACATAATTAAGGAAATATCTTTATAAAAGATTCTTTTGTGTTTTTTTTTATTTATTTATTTATTTGTTTGTTTGTTTTTTTTTTTTTTGTTTTTTTGTTTTTTATTTTATATTTTTTTTATAGAAAATTAAAAAAATGTTTCATTAATTGAATCGAAACACACTGTTATGTAATATTGTAATGAAATTACGTATCAATAATTATTTGCTTAAAAATTGAAATAGCTTCATTGACTCACGACAGGCGGCATCAATGAAACAATTAATGCCAATGACGAAATTATTTCTTAATGTCATATACCATTGTATCATTATAATTTACCATAATTTTTTTAATTCAAAATCATTTTTCATAAAAATACGATTGAGTAAATATTAAGCATGGAACGTGATTTTAAATGCATTTGTACATAAATATGTAAGATTTGTATGAATTAATGTTTTTAATGTTAATGTGTATTTGCATTAACGTTTCTATGACTTAATTACATGAAGGTCATTCAGCATTTTTAAACATTAAATAACCCCATCGTTTGCAAATCTCACTTTCAAATTGCTCATTTAAAAACGGTATTTCTAACACAGAAACTAATCAACTATGAATGAGTGAATTATTTTATAATTAAAGTCTTTATACTTCCCACGCAAATAGCATTATGTACAAAATGAGCTTGGAGAATACACGAATACGAAAAGGCCACAAATTTATTATAAGAAAATTTCGTTTTATTGTAAAAGCATCTTTCTATCGCATATTCCATTTTTAAAAGATTATTATGAAAAATGTTTTCTTCTTATATTTTTTTTTTTTTTTTTTTTTTTTAATATTAAAAATTTTCTTATATCGAATCTGAAATATTAAATATCTTCTTTCTTAACTATTTGAAATATCTTTGCATCTGCTTTATTCAAGTTCAACAATTCAACAGTATAGGATAAGATAAGGAAAAAAAAAGTTTTTAATATTACTATTTATTTCAATTAACTGTGAAAATTATTTAAAGTTTATGCTTCATAAGTTAAATATTTTTGTAGAGTGAATTATTTTATTAATAAAATCAACCAAACAAACAAACAAACAAACAAACAAACAAAAAGTACAGAAAAAAAGAAATTTAATGTTCCTTTGTAACGAATGTTTAATAACAAAATTTTGTTATTTGTTAATTTGTTATTAGCTATAAGCTCTCTATACTTGTTAATTAATAAAGCAACAAAGCATATCAAACTTTTATCGGTGTCCGATAGATTTGCTATTACAAATAAAACTGACAAATTACAGGATACTCGAAAGGATGAAATTATAGAAAAAGCAGACTTCTACAGGCTAATAAACCCATTTGACAGATAACAATACGTGCAACGTTAAAGATAGTGTGGTTGGTTGAAAATGCTTGGCTTGTTTTTCGCAAGCAAGTTTCTAAACTTAGATTAGTTGAAAGAAGTGGCCTAACATCGTATAGGAGAAGTGCGAGGCCATCGATCGATATTTCGAACAAATTAGCAAGCGCTCGGCTGCTAATAAAGTCACATTGATTTTTCGCCGCATTGCAGTTTCTCATTCTCTCTCTCTCTCTCTCTCTCTCTCTCTCTCTCTCTCTACTCTTTTAATTTTTTTGTTTTGTTATTGTAGCTCGTTCTTACTTTCATTTCTTATTGGATATAAATATTTATTCACTACGAAATATGAATAGCGCAAATGAAATAAAATAATTACTTGGTACTTATCGATTACTCGCATCTCTTGGTTCATGCATTCGAACTGCAAACGTATTTTTTTTTTTTTTTTTTTTTTTTTTTTTTTTTTTTTTTTTTTTTTTTTTTTTTTTTTTTTTTTTTTTTTTTTATTTTGTTTCAAAATCTTTTACGTATATTATACATATACACGTATATCAATGGAAGAAATAGATTTTCTTGTATCGTATATTTTAGGAATACATTTTTATGCAATGATTAAACATAAATTTCAATCACTGTAATGCTGTAATTATGTAAAAAAACAAACAAACAAAAAACAAAAAAAAAACAAAAAAAAAACAAAAAACAATGCGTAAATTTATTGAAACATCATGCATTAAAATTAATTTTCACTTCTTTATAAAATTTCGAATGCGTGTATATATATATATATATATATATATATATATATATATATATATTAGTAATTTTATGCAAATCATGTTAATCTATAAATATTAACTGTTGTGCTGGCTTCTACTATAATCTCAATTAAATATAATCTAATATAATCTAAATAAATTCTACTATAACTTTGGGTATAAGTTATACGTTATGGTATTTTTATAATTTGGGGAAAAAAAAAATAGGATGCAATTCATTCATTTTGCGTACAACATTTATTTTTTGATAATACATTTTGTTATAAGTGCAGCATTACTGAAAATTCGAACATTAAATGACTAGAAGAAGTTCGTTAAGATATATTATTTTTCGAAATTTTAAAATAAATTCAAGCACTAAGAAGGAGAAGAAGAAGAAGAAGAAGAAAAAGAAGAATATTGTTACCTAATTGAGCTCGATACATTAATTCAGCTTCAATAATAAACTACTATTGATATAAAAAGTACATGATGAAATTTATTATCGTTTGTCTAAATAGCAATTGCGCTGTTAAAGAATTTTGTTGCATGTACAATATATAAGCGCACTTCACTTGATAAACCTCTTTCGGCAAGATTGTGACTTATAATTGTTAATTAATGTAAGATGACTGTGAGAGGCGCTTAAATTCTCTTATCATGTAGTCATTCATCGTTCGATGTAGGTGATATGGGCAGCGAAACATCGGATTACTGAAATAGATTTAGAAAGCTGATAAAACAACTGAAATCGATCATCTCTTCTTGCGTGACCTTTTTTTCTTCCTCGATAATTTGCGCTCATAATAAGCCCGCCAGGTTCGCTGTATTATGCGAGCTGCGCGATTCTTCTCGAAATTGGCCATACGTTGGGCGAATGCTTGCATCATCGCAAACTCGCGTTCTTTTTTCAATTTCATGAATAAAGTGTTTTGCTCGTCGCATTCGTTCTACAACAATTATTACCGTCATTATGCCATTTTACGTATCCTAATCACATATTTATCACCATATCCCGCGACTTTTTCAACTTCAATGTACATTAGGTTTTTTCATTTTATCCTTAAATTCTTTTAATCCTTAATTAAATTAACATACATGCATTTAGAGTCAAATTAAACTAAAGTATATTTACTTTTAAGCTGTTGTAATGATTGCTCGTTGCAGATAATTGCATTTCTAGAGTCTCCTTCAGCTCATTCAATTTGCTCAAATCGCGATCGTAAACATCTCGTGCCACTAAACATTTCCTCTCTGCTTCTTTACTGTACACACAAAAGAAGCAATAAATCATTCGGATTCGATTAGCACTCAAATATTCATTTATTGTTAAATTCTTATTGTTACGATATTTCTGCAATGCATGAACATCGTGACAAAATTTCATATTAACGCTGAGATACACATCCGTGAATAATTATTCTCTGTGGAATTCCAGCTTTGCCAAACTAATATGTATAATTTACCAGTATTCTCGTAGTATATCTTCTTGTTCTACATTGACCTGCATTAATTTTTCCAGCACTGCTTCATGGGCCTCCAATTGATTATTAAGATTGTTTTCCTTCTCGACAATATCGTCTCTCAGCCTACGCAGTCTCGTCTTATAAGAATTCCTATGAATGACAATATCGATAATGATCAAATGGATATTGAAATTGAATTAATTTATCTTACATTTCGCGGTCAAGTTCCTCGTTGCGTTTATTTTTTATTTCTTCGATGACTAGTTTCAATTTAATTAATTCATCCTGGGATTCCTTAACCATATCGTGGAATTTTAATGTTTCATCATTAAAATCGCTTTCAAGCTCTAAAAGAATTATAATGAATAATTCTCTCTATTATCAAAGTGATTATTTTGTTTTATAATCGAAAGTATTCAATTACTTTGAATTACTCCATGCGTAGTTGTAACTAGAGCTTTAGCATTACGTAATTCAGCTTTATACGCCCGCAATTGCGTTGGCGTCATTCGCATTTTCCATTCAACGATTTGTTCGAAATACTCGATATGTTCAATAATCGTATTGACGTTTGATGGGATTTTATCAAGATTATCATTTATTATTGGTATTATTTTATCCGCGTACTTACTCAAGTGCTTAAATACAAAACAAAAATTATAGTTGGAATAATCAAATTATCTTGGGACCAGATCACATATTATCGATAGTGATTTAAAATTTACCGATAAAATCCTTGCCAATTGCAATTTAATCTTTAAATATGTACTATCAAATTGTGCAACTTGTGACTGCTCTCGCTTTGCCACTAATAGACAACAATTTTTAAACAATACTGTCTTATAAATATAACATAATTATAATAATAATAATGAGCATAATAATTTTTAATTTTAGTAACGGGAGATAAATATAAAATAATTTTTTAAAACTAATTTTTTACAAAAAAATATATTAATAATAATAATAATAATAATAAATAAATAAATAAATAAATCGAAGATCCACCTTTTGAAGACCATTCCTCGATAATGAGATACTCTAGTTTCCAATTTTCACTACTGGATAACGTATAAAGACAATCGAGTTCTTTTAAATTATCTTCCACTATATTTTTCCATTTTTCATGACTTACAAAATATGGTAGACATATCTAAAAAAATAAATAAAAACGAATGAATATAAGGAATTATAGGAGGAATAATAAATGTTTCGCCTCTAATAAAAACAATCACGTAAGTACAAGCTAAAGTTATTTACCGCAATTTTTAATTTTCGAGACATTTGCTCGATTATTCTTAGTAATCGATTGATAGCTTCTTCACGTACGTCCATTTCGTGTTTGGAAACTTCTAATTTATGTAGTAATTTAACATTTACATATACGCAAGACGCCGAATAAAATTACAAGATCTTACGTAGGCGACAGATGTAAGAAGATTGGCATTCTTAAAGATTCTTATATATGACCTTCTCTTATGATTTCAATTACAACGATATTTATTTTAGTTAGTGTGTATTACACTGGCCAACGATGTTTATGTTTCTCAATTTTCTATCTTAATAATTATTCAGTAATTCATTCAGTAATAATTGATACTCAAACTTAAAATTCCAACTGTTAATCCCTCAACTTACAATAACATTAATAAAGTCTTTATTTCATAATTAATAAGGTAATTTAATTTTTATGAATACTATTGTAATAATTACTTACGCAATGAAAGCCCATTTTAATAATGACAATAATGCATTAAAAAATCATATTTGGCGCCTAATAATTTTCCAGTTTTATATATTTGTAAATGTATCTACATATACCTGGTATACACTTGTTGTTCCAAAAGGAAAATATCATGTACTTAAATAAGAAAATCTATTCGATACGGTTAATGTTTTGTTTTATCGAAGCCGAGCGTTTATTATTGAAGTTGTTTATGTGATTCCTCAATGTATTTCACTCATCTCGTTGCTAGACAACCTGGCAACCTAAGTTGTCACAAAAGTAAACTATGTGCAGATTCTAACCTATATGATTGACAATAATAAAGTATGACATAAATTGAATGGAAATATTGATAATTTATTGGTTTATTATGCAATAAAGATGAGTGGTGCTACAGAATTACAAGCAACACATAAGACTGAGCAATTGCAAGATGATACGATAGAAAATGTTGACGTTGCCGAAGCAGATTCTACCCAAGCTTATCAAATTCGTCCAAAGTTAGAAGAAAAGTAAGCTAACATTCCACTCTCTATAATATACCTCTATAAATGTGTGAATATACAGATATATACAGATATTTATTATATATGTTTAATTTCAATGGAAATTAATTTCTTAGATTCAAGCCCTTAAGTGCTAAAGAAGTCATTCATAATGTTCTGTTTGATCATCTATCGACAAAAGAATACAACAAGCACGAAGCACAAAAATGGTCAAAAGAAATTGCTGATATCATTAGAGATAAAATTAAAAGTAAGCATTACATTACATAAATGTAATAATAGCATACAGAGAAATGTATCACGCGTCGTTTATTCATAAATTTATTTATAGAATTAGACTTTAAGAAGTACAAATATATAATAAATGTCGTTCTTGGGACAAGAAATGGAGCTGGCATGAAAATGGGTACACGTTGCATTTGGGATGCAGAAGCCGACAGTTACGCACACGATAGCTTTACAAATGTAAGGACTATCTCACTATATCTCACATACCATTATGTATTAAAAAAAAATAATTCTCCTATACTAATAAAGTGTGTGTAATTGCAGGATACGATATTTTGTGTCGCAGCAGTCTATGCCGTTTATCATTATTAATTTATAATTGTAGAAATTGTTGACCAAGGATTGTTAAATTGTAAATAATAAGAGAAACGATATGTAATGTAAGTGTTCTAATAGTTCTGTATTTATTGTAATTTTATAATAATGTACATTGTTTAATAATCTTAGATAAGATAACGATTTTCATTGTGCCTCAAATTCATATTATTATTATTATTCATATCATCATCATTATTATTATTATTATTATTATTATTATTATTATTATTATTATTATTATTATTATTATTATTATTATTATTAATATTACTACTACTAATAGTATAGTTATTGTCAATATAATATAGCACCACAATTAATGATTGTTTTGATCTTCTTTCTATTATTAATTTAAAATTATTATTATTAATTATCTTGTTACAAAGTCATGGTACAACCTGAATGTTCAAATATTAGATATATAATGGCTTCGTTATAAATAATTGTTATTAAAATAATAACGCTAAGGGTTTATTAAATCGACATTTATTGTAAATGAAAAAGCAAATTAATAAGATAAGTGGATTACGACTAACATTTAAAAATTCATAAAAACTACATGGCTATATAATGTTTATGGACAAACGGATAGTTGAGATAGACGTTCGATTAGAATGACAATGTAAAAGCGTTTTCCGATGATCGAAGTACAACGGATCTCCGTATAAATAAAGATATTAATTTTACATAATGACACAAGGTAAGGCACAACACAGTGGCAAGCATACTGGCACAACAGCTTTTTTCGTTTTCACTTTCTCTTCGCTTTTCGCCGATGCTCCGTACTCCCAAGCGGCTCGCTCCTTGGCCCAGCCACCCTGACATAACAAACAACCATAATCATCACATAAAAATATTGAATAGAGTACCTTAAGCTTAAAAAGTCATATTTTATATCTTATCACTCACGCTGGCCTTGGACATGGCACCCATGGCCTCCTCCTTCTTCGAGAATTCTGCGGAACCGGGCGGATAGTAAACCGGGGGTCCGGCGACATTTTTGCTTTTGACAACGGGTACCGTTTGAGGGACGAAATCGACCTCTTTCTTTGGAGTACTCTCCTTCGTCTTACGGTCTCTCTTATCAACGACCTCCACGACTTCCTGCAACAGGACATATATCACATACATTGAGTTAGGATGTCGATCGAACGTAGGGAAACACGTGAATTTTGTTGGAATTAGCGCTGACGAGCGTATGTCGAGGTAAAAAGTCGTGTTACCTCGGAATCGGAGAAGGAAGCCATGAGATCCTCGATACGCTTGGGTGGCTGCTGTCTCGGGCTCGCCGGTCTCTCGCTAGTGGGGAAGGGCTTAGGTAGTAGGGACTGTTGCTCGTCGTACTTGTAGATGTGAGTGGTGCTGCTGCTGTGATGGGAGGACTCGTTGCCTGGATAGTAGACAGGCTTGGGTGGCCTGCTGCCGGAGAAGTGCTCCTCGTACTGTTTGATGGTCGTGCGGGTGCCCTCGATAACTGGCGGTGGTGGTGCCGGCTCGCTCTGATAGACGATCCTCTGGCTGCGCTCGGTCCTGCTGCTGTGCGTCTGATCCGGATAGTCGGCCGGCGAAGGCACGCGGTTTACTGGGATGTTCGTCTGCTGGAGGTACCTCTCGTTACGGCTCGTCGTCGTCGTCGTCGTCGTCGTCACGGGGGGTGGAGGCGAGGGTGCACGGTAGCCCCGACGCTCCATGTACACCTTCTCCTCTCGATGCACGCGGCTCGTCGTCGGGGGCGGTGTCGCCGACACGTAGTCGCGGATGCCGCTTTTCTGCTCCTCGACCTGAGTCGAATCAGACAGTGAAAATGCGTGGGTGTTGGAGCAAGGTTGCGCAGTTAATTAGAAAGTACTTACATGATAAGTGACGGTCTTCTCGGGCTCCCGCGGTAGAGTGTAGCTTACGGACTTGTCGACGTTCACGTTTTTCGTGAGGGTGCTGCTAGTGGATGGGAGGTAGGTTTCGGGTGCCCCTGGCAACTCGTACGTGTAGGTCTTGATGGTGGTGGTGACCTTGGTGTTGGGACCCGGAGCGAGATTCGCAGGGATTGGAGCCGATGCGGGAATGTACTCGACGTTCGTTAATTCCTCGGTTTCGTCGGTACGAACGGTTTTTATGTTTTTCCTTGGTGACACTGGGCTTGGCTCTGTATGAAAACCTAAGAGGTTTTGTAACGTTATCGATTATCGCCATTAAATCGACAAATTAAAATTAGTTATTAGCTTACTCGTTTCTTTGATATATTTGAAATCTCTTTCGGTTGATCTTGTCTCGGTCGTTGGGATTATTGTGGGAATTGTTTTTGTCGAAACGTCGGCCTTATAAATCTAAAATTAAAGAAACGACGGACGTTAAATTACGATACTATTTTTTTTAATTATACACGCGCGCGCGCGCACGAGAGAGAGAGAGAGAGAGAGAGAGAGAGAGAGAAAGTAAACAAACAAGAGCGAACGCACGCACGCACGCAAAACAAATGCAAAATAAACTTACAATTTCCTTTCCAGATTTTGCAAAGTCCGGACTGTCGCGAACGGTTTTTGTCGATGAATCGGATTTTTCAAAAGTTCTTTCACAAAAATTATCACTGTTGATAAAATATATTGTTTATTATAAGATTACTGTGAGGCTTATTATTATTATTATTGTTATTATTATTATTATTATTATTATTATTATTATTATTATTATTATTATTATTATTATTATTATTAGGATTTATGATACAATTTTGTTCAAATAAATATAAATATATATTTTTTTTAGTTGAAGTCTTTTGATTGCACTAAGTTTTGAAATATTAAAATTTTGTTGTTCGTATTGTACAATCATTCGGAGGTAAAAGGATAACCTTTATTGATATAAATACCAGAGTATCCTATAAATTTGAGTAGAGTTTGTTTTCATTTCAATTTATAAATAGAATTGAATTTCTAACTGATCTTAAAGATTATTAAATTCCGAATAATAAATAAAGTTCGTTTAGTTTGTTTAAAAGCCATTTCTTACGAATGTTTATACACACTATTTACGACTATGCTTACATAGCCGAAAATACAAAAAAAATATGTATTTATATTTTCAAGTGAACGTAAATTTTTATCAAATCTAAAAAAACATTAACAAATCTGAGCTTCGTGAAAATTTACAATTAATTTATTGTTTTAAAGCATTATTTTGCGAAGAAAATCAAATATTGCGCTAAGCTTCAAGAGCAAATTATAAATACAATCGGTCGAATACCTTACTTAACTTCGTATTATATTTTATTATTTACAAAGCTACATTTGTAGTTTTGTTTTATTTTAAAACACAGTCAATCTTTGTGAAGCATATGCATCTGAATATATTCAAGTAATCACAGAAACAATAAAATTAATCTTCGATAGATATCTTCACGAACAATTTAAAAAAAAAAACCTGATTTCTTTATTTGGCAATCTGTCAAAAAGAAGAACAAATTCTTGACTTTCATTGAAAAATTAAATCAATTACGAATGTAATTCTGAATTTTAACGTTTAGCTAATTACTGCAATGCAACTTACGAATGTTATTGTCGATTGATCGAGATGTTAAATTATTTGCTATTGACATTAAATTAAATAGTAAAATTATTTGATTTATAGAATTAGCAGACTGATATTTGCAGCTCAAATTAAATAGATATTACTATTATGCAAATAAACTTTTAATTGCCAACTAAAATCTTCTTGGATTATTTATTCGAAATTGTTAAAATTGCAAAATCATCGCAAATTAAATGTTTGTAATATCCGATTCCGACTAACGCCTACGACAAAAGTCTTCTTATATTTCATAATATTTAAGCATAAAAATTAAAAACTTGCTATATTTATATTACAATTTCAAAGTAAACGAACATAGCATATCATTCACTGCGAAGCTAAAAGTTAAGCTAAAATATTCGAACAGCCGAAACTCATTTACTTTGCTTATTACTCATAAAATCATAAAATTCTCAAAGACTCATATTTATAGCTGTGAGGCTGCAACTTATTTAAAAACTTTTCCCGCGTTTGTGAAAAATAACTTGAAGAGTCCATTGCTTCATATTATATATTGTGTTCATATTGATATATATATAAAACTACTTTTTGATAAAGTCTCAAAGGATTTGTAAATGTTCGTTGTAGTTAGCGGAAGGTACAGTGAATATAAATGTGTACTCACACGATGGACGTGTCGTTCTTGCTTAGCTTGTCCGTCTTCATCCATGATTCTAAAATACAGAGGGGGCAAGAGAGAGGGATAGAGAGAGAGGGAGAGAGAGAGAGAGAGAGAGAGAGAGAGAGAGAGAGAGAGAGAGAAAATATATATAATGATTAAATAAAAAATTTAAACAGATATAATATAGTAATAGAATAGTCGAAAAACGGCCGGGAACAAACAGAAGTCGCGCCGATATATAACGGATGCTGGATATCATCAAGGTCGCGAGCGATTTGCGGTCCGTAAAAGGAGCGCCGCTTACGGGCGAACAACGAGCGGTCAAACGAGCGGAGTTAACTAACGATCATGCAAACGAGTGCGACATCGAATTCACCCCCCCACTCCGCCCCCGACTCGTCCCCCAAGGCATTTGCTCATACGTACCGAGATCCTTTCCTTCCTGCTTCTTGTCGTAGTGATAGGAGATTTGCTTGTAGGCGACGGTCTTGCTCTGGCCTGGTTGCACCTGAAAATACCGACGGACAAAAGTGTGAGAAGGCTGTCGGTCTTTCTGCGTGTTAGGGACATGTGGGATCGGTATAAGCGGAGCCAAGGTTCTTCAGCCAAAGGACGTTTACGCGTGTAATAAGAAAAGTGACGGATGCTTTACGCGCGCTTCGAGTATTCGTTACATTGATATGTCCTTGAGTATGAGGCATTGAAGGCAAGGAGCAAGGTGAAATGTTTATTTCTCTCCGTTGTCTTCAAGACCTTCGTAAAAGTGGTTGTGAATTTAAGATGATTCAATATTACTCCCATGCTTCCCCCCAACCAGTCTGCTCGTTAAATGATGACAATTTTCTCGCAAAGCTTTCTCGCTCGGAGACAGTGGGCTTGAATACCAAGGATATGCCAAGCACGAAGGACCGCACTCAAAATACCTCATTCTCTCGACTCGACGGAATAGATGTTAAATTCGAAGTTTTCGTTATTAGATTTATAACGCGCCATAACCGTAATTTAATAATTTAATTTAATTTAATTTTTAACCATAACCATTAACCATAACCATGTCGATTCTAGAGGAAGAAGAAGCGGTGATGGTGATTATTCATATAATTATTGAAACGATTTTAGGATGTAAAAATATAATTTAAGGATGTAAAAAAAAAAGAAGAAGAAAAATCTATAAATTAAATCCCACGTAATTAGAAATAAGCATTTTTGTTATATATATATATATATATATATATATATATATCCGTATCGATCCAATACAAAATTCTTATAAAATTATAAAATCGACAAGGACAATCATACCAATTTTGCACTCTAAATAAGCAATTATTCGTCATTCTTTCATTTGCTTTATTTCAATCCAATGATTATTAATTGTTAAAAATAAATTTAACTCGAATTTATTACACGAGTATTTCTATTAAAAAATCACAATGATACAATTAATATGAGAATGAAAATTTTTATAATACGCGCTTGGCAAAATTTGTCTCTATATGCGTGAAATATGCGTTTGACGCCTCGAAACTTCTCGTTAAATGCGAACGATGCAAATTTTGCTTCGCATGTATTAAATTGAACTTTGATGCATCGTCCAGTTTGGAACTGGAAAGCTATTCAAAGTTTTAATAATAATTAAAAATAGATGGACAATTGGTTTCCGGCGTGAAAGTCACAACTGCTTAATCGATAATGCTCAACAAACATCATTCACGCTATTCACGTTCAATGACGTTCTCTATCCTTAATCATTCACTCGAGCACATTATAATAAACATACAATCGACCGGCACGCCAATGAACGCCATGAACAATCGTTAATTTCAATTTTCACTCGCATATCCCAAAGCTCCCATCTAACTATCCATTTAAATGAAATGTCATTAGCGCGCTTCGGCGACAGGCCGCTCGACAAATAAGTGACCGACGTGTTATTCTTATGGCAATGTAGCACCCGGCATCTCTATCGTATATCACAAAGAAAAAACAGAAGAAAAAAAAATAGAAGAAAAAACAACGCCCGCGAAATAACGACAAGCAATCCTAACTTTTATCTTCCCTCGCGCCATTGATGAAAGCGATCGGCCGCGCGTCCCGAAAATCCACTTGTGTCGTCCTGTGGGGGTCCGCTACGGCAATAACGTAAAATCGAATTGCATACGTAGCCGAGGAGACGAGCGAGACTGAGACTGGACTGCTATTGGAAATCGAGACTGGCGCAATGAGTCAAATGATGCGTTAGCGTGGGTGTCGTACGCGAGGAAAACCGTGGGAGAGACACACTACGCTCTCGCGGCCTTATAGGGCCGAGCCGAACAAAGTCGTCACGAGGCTGTTTCGTTTCGTTTCTTATAATTCCTATTTTTTTTTTTCTGTTTTTTTTTCTGTTTTTTTTTTCTGTTTTTTTTCTGTTTTTTTTCTGTTTTTTTTTTTCTGTTTTTGTTTTTCGTGATGAATTTGAATACGTGGCGGCGAATCGAGGGCGCCCCGATCGAACAGAAAACCATTACTCGATGCTCGGCGCTCAAGGGATGCGCAATAAGCTTAATGCTCGGTTATGAGCTCAGTTGACGTTGGCTGATCGTTCGTTACACTGGGATGGTTGCATTATTCGATCGACGTTGCACGATGATTTTACCATCGATTTCATTAGATAGGCTCTCCTATTCGCATTACATAATGTGTTTTAATTATTTTGTTTTATGCGAGGCGTTTCGATGCGGAAGCGACGCGTCTTGATCTGCATAACGATTAAGCTAGTTATCACCGAAACGTATTATTAGGGTGTAGGCTCAGCGCGATAAGGTGGAGGGGATTATCGATTGTCTTGCTATACGACTTGGATATAACAATAAGGCATTTGCAACAAAGTTAAATAAACTACCGACAAAATGAGCTGCTATTCTCATATTATTGCAATTGCAAGCTATTTTAACAATCGGCAACTTGCAGCATATTTCCATGCAAATTCGCTTTAAAGCTCGTGCTATTTCGAATTCCAAGTCAATTTTGCCACAAATTAATAAGCAAATTGCTAGGTATTATTGCATGATTTATTTAATGATGACGGGGAGTCGGAGTGCGCTACATTATCTGTACGAGCGGGAAACATGTAAATAAAATTCTTCAAAAGCGAAAAATATTTAAATATAAACAGCCGATTATCTTCCGCTCGGCTACTAATGCATAAGCGTCATTTTATTTCATTAGCTAATTATGCAATGGATTATTATTGTACACTTCCTACATAATTGCATCACGCTCCGCGGGAAGAGAGCATAGCGTTTATCTTTAAATTTGACGTAAATGTTTTTTCTAATTATCGAAGAACTTTAGTCAGCTAGTTTGTAAAGCCACGACCGATGCTCGTCACACACACACACACACACACACACACACACACACACACACACACTGTCACTCTTGTTTTTATTTTATTTTATTTTTTTTGTCTTTGTTTTGTCTTGATCTTGAATATCTATCGAGACAATCGGCAGTCTTACACTGTCCCATCACCAACTACAAACATTCATAATAATACAATAAAATGTGTCTTCCATTCCGACGGCACTCCTCCCAATAAATCCTTCGAAATAAGAATACAATAAAAATCACTTTAAGTGTCCTAATCGCAAATCAATGCTAAATATTCGAGTCGATTCGCGTGTATTTAATGACGCCAGCCGAATACCAAGCGAGCAGACTCCTCTCTCTCTCTCTCTCTCTCTCTCTCTCTCTCTCTCTCTCTGTGTATTAACGCAATCATTATTCGTAGCGCATTAACCACGTACAAATGTCAAAGTGAGAAAAGTCGTTTAAGAAGCAAGTCGAATATTTTTGGCGAATCCTACCTCGAGCGCTCGATAATAATTGCCTGTAGGGGCTTTTACATATTCCCTTGGCTCTTGTTGCGTCGCGATCGTCGCGAGCACAAGCAAACGTAAAGTCGGTTGGTAAACTTACGTCCTGAAGTTCAGCGTCGAGCATTTCAAGACCAGGAATCCCGGAAGGTGTGCCAGCTGGTCCGGTACTCACGTACTTCTCCAACGTTCTCGTCCGGCCTAGCGACTGCGAGGGAGATATTGACCTCATGGGGGATCTCCTGTTAAAATAAGTTTCGTTATCCCCGCGTCATTTTCAATGTTCAATGACGAATGATCGCGAGCTTTGTGTCTTTATTAAAAGATCGGCACTCTTATCACAGTTGAATTTAATCTTAATGAGCCGAAGCTTATGGTACTCAGTAATTAATATAATAGCATAGGCATAAGATTTTAATCGCGGAGCGTTCGTCTCGATTATATCGAATGGTAAAAAAACCCATCGTAATAAGCTTCTTATGCGATTCAATGCTGCCCGCTCGATGCTACTAAATTAGCAGCCGATGATGATTTATTGTCTGTTAGAGCACGTTAAAACGAGATTTGTGAAAATCTTGTCGTTATCGCGTCCGTTCGGCATACATTATCCAAGTAGTTGTTAAGAAGGGACAGTTAAGGGACGTGTTGTGTGCGCGATCGTTAGACAGGATTATCATGAGAACGTCTACCTGCTCGTTGTTTCGATGATCCTCGTGGAATTATGTTGCGGTGTGCTCGCATTGTTATTCGAGATGCTTGTTTGCAGATCATCCAAAAGTGCATCTAAAAAACATCACCTCGCATTATCGAAACTATTGGTCATTTTGAAAATGAATCGTTAAGCGTCCGTGAGTTCGTATAGTAAGGCTGAACAAGCGTTGAGGATATCGCGACTTTGACCGTCTTTGTCACGACTCTTTACTCTAAATTATGATACTTTTCATACTCACTCATTATCCTGAAAAAAAAATGTATCAGCTCTTGAGCCTATATTATTGTAATACCTTTAATACCGGCTTCAAACAATTAATTAGTGTAAGCGACCGTTGCATCAAATGTAAAACACATACTTCAAGAGGGGAAAAGTATGCGTAAAAATTTTACTGCACGAATGCGCGTCAGTGAATATTTATATTTTCTGTGTATTGAGATGGCGGGCATAAGCAACGCAAGCTTCAACGTTATATTTTAATGAAAATTCGTCGACACGAGTGTTTGAGCCAACACAGTGCAAACAATGCGCAAGCGCTGCATAAAATCGGGAGATAAAGTAATTAACGCGAGTGATACATCGTACGAAAATAAGTCTCGCAAAAGGCTCGTCCAGTTTCGGTAAAAGGCGAAAAGTCGGCTGGTGAAGTTGCATTACCTAAATTGTTATCGAGGTTACTGGCCGAGGTTGACGAGTACGAGTGGCTCGTGGCTTTTCGACTTATTGCGCCGCTCGCCATGCTTCAATGCGCTGTAACAAGAAACAATCTCATCACCGTCGACGCCAGAGGAAAGATGTCGAGGGAGAGAAAGAGAGGCTGCGCTACGTATTTATTAGGCTAATTAAGCGCACATTCGGCAACCCTCCCCATATTCGCTTAAATATCAGAAACTGCGATTCGCAAGGCCAGGACAACGACTCGGGGACCTTTGCAATCCAAGTTCTCATTACGTATAAGCGACTTCATTATTTTTATTTGTACACGTACAATTTATACGTATACGCACGCACCAATAAATGCACAAATGCATCTATATGTCTATGTACCTCTGCGTGCGTGCGTGTGCGTGCGTGCGTGTGCGTGCGTGCGTGTGCGTGTGTATATATATATATATATATATATATATATATATATAAATGAACCAACTATTTTGAGATATTTGGTAGGAAAAACTGGAATTTCGCAAGGGAGTGGAAAATAAATATGCGTCATTTCGACTTTTGTGTGGCGAGTCCGTTTCAGAAGAGAGAAAATAGAATTCTAAACATTAATGAAAATTTGCCGTTGAAACTTGAACTACCTGCTAACTTTCGTAACCTTTTCATTTATTAGAGCTCGACCGGTGAATTTTATCTTGTACGTTCTTTAGGCTCTTTGCCTCTTTGCCTCTTTGCCTGCAATTACCATTATTATTATTAACAAACAGCGTCTCTTAGTGTCGAGCTATTCGCCGGAAAATGATTTAATACTTGAAATAAAGGAAATTAAATACAGCTGTGCCTCGTTAGATTCCAAGAAAACGGAAAATTGCGCCACGAGTCCGCGATATTTACGCAATAGAGTTTTGAAGGCATGATTATTCTTATAAAATTAATAAAATTGTTGTGAGTGAAAGTAAACGCATGCACGCGCGTATTTAATGACTAAATTCTGCTATAGTTCCCATGATAGACGAGCAATCGACATTGCAATTCTAACGCGGAAATTTATTTTATTCTCCGACCGCTCGTCACATTAGCGTTAGACAGTCTTGCCGTCGCACTCCAACAATAAATTTACAATAAATTTAATATATTATTTAATTGCAACTCGTCTGCTCGGACAAATGAATAATTTGACGTAAAAATTAGCAAATCGTTATTCTCGACTTAGCATACTCGTGAGAATGCATTGAGGTAACGCTCATGTTAATATCAAGATAATTCACAATGCCGAATAATTAATGTAGGAAATGGTCATAGCGACTTTCCCGGAGCGGAGATTTCCCGAGCATAAATCACGAGCGACTGCTCGGAATGAAGGAAGTATTTCGCAAGGAAGGTAACGTCATGTTAGCCAAGTTCATCGCCACCGCCAGCCAGGATGTTACGTTGACTCCCAAGGGAGGTGGCTGTTTGGCGGCGAGGACGGGAGTAGCGGACGAGCGTGAAAATGCATTTCCGTCTCCCCTCGGAAAATGTTACAAGGTCGAGCGGAGAGGCCCGTGCGCTCGTCGCCGAATTGGCCGAGTTCCTCGGGATTACGAGTTCCGCGGCGACCTGACAGACTGCCATCGCCGTAGTAGCCGCTGCCGTCGGCGCTATTTTCGGCATCGCAGAGCCGGGAGCCAAGCGCCGTCCGATGCGCACATTATCAGCCAGACTCTTTTTCATCCAAGTCGCAAATTTCCTCGGCTCGGCAAATCGCATCGGGCAACAAACGGCAAAAGATCGACAAATTGATAGATTTATAGTTAAACGGATAGCTGCATAGCTGTATAGATAGATAGATAGATCAAAGGATAAATAGATGTGTGTGTGTGTGTGTGTGTGTGTGTGCGTGCGCGCATAGAGAGAGAGAGAGAGAGACAGAAGTGTGTAACAGGATTGACGATACGATAGGAGAGGGAATGGTAAAGACGATGACGCTCGACGTGCACTCACATTAGTCGACGTGAAAGGGCCCACTATAGTCACACCGATAACACCGATAAACAAAGGCACGAGCCGGACACACTGCGTCGAGGGCCTTGGCACATCGGCCGCTGGGAGCGATGAGGGGCCGAGTCTCGACGGCCGGTATACCCGCGAGAGACTAAAGCCGCGACTCCCGCCGCCGAACGTTCAAAGGTTTCTCGTCTATCCACTCCCTCTCTCTCTCTCTCTCGCGCGCGCGAGCGCGCGCATACACGTCCCCCTACCCCTCCCTCGCGCTCTTACCTCCGCGCGTGGCACTCACCCACGCACGATCACGAATCTCACTCGCGCGTCAGCCTACTCTCGTTGGCGTCTATTTATTACGCACGTCGGGGGACCAAGGTAAGAGAAAGAAAGAGATGAGACAGAGAGAGAGAGAGAGAGAGTGCGAGTGATGCCCCTATCCTATTTCATCCTCGAGCTCCGGCCGATCGACAATGATGAGCCTCGATAAGAGGCTCGCAACTCGTCCTAATCATGCTATACGCGTGCCTCCTGCTGATCCTCGGGTCGCGAGTGAAATCCGCGACGCCGACGGGCCCGTCATTGACCAGGCCAAATTTGGACGTCGCGGGCACAAAAAAGTCCGGGACGTTCGCTATACTCCTTTCCTCCCGTTTGCCTCGACGGATGAGTCTCGCCCTTCCTTCTCGTGCTCCAGGCGCGCCGTATTTTCATTCGCGGATGCCGGTCAAGGACGCGGCCCCATAAATACGAGGCCCCCGCGCGCTTTTTGACTCACGCCTCTTTTATTGACAACTCTTCCCTTTTCTTTCTTCTTTTCTCTTTTTCGCTACCGCTTACAACTAAATCGTGCCTTTACGCGATGTGGGTGACGCGCGCCGACAATCCGGCGAAGGTGGTGGTGACGGAGGTGGCGGAGGTGGCGAAGGAGGAGTAGTAGGAGTAAATGGGGAGGAGGATGAGGATGAGGAGGAGGAGGTGAAGGAGGAGGAGAATGTTCTATAACAGTCGAGCCGTCGTCACCATTGCCAAGTCAAAGATTTGCTGATCCGCTCGGTGCGCCGATGTGTGCTCACACTATTTTTCTCTCTACTTCGTCCAACCTAATTGACGAGGCAGTTTTTTCCACGAATAGTTGGTCCGTCAGTAAGAGTCAGTGGGATGTAAATCGTGGAATCTGGGATTAATGTGGCAAATAAATCTTTTATTAAATTTTTTTCTCTCTCTTCTTAACGAATAACTCTCTTCTCTTATTTTTATTTTTAACACATAAACATACTCGCATATATAACTTAGGCATGTATACGTATACACATACACATGTAGGATGTGAAGTTCTGTATCGGGCAACTCGCGTTCGTTGAGAAAGTTATAAGAGCTATTTCGTTTTAAAACAACAATAACTTTGAAAAATGTAATTAATACAGAGCGGTGTATTTGTACAATGTTTAACTGCTTTTAATCGCATTAATAAATCAACTGCGTCGTTTGTCTATTAACGAAACAATAATACACACTCATTATGGAATTCGTAATAATGTGGAGACTATCGGGAAAAGTTGTAGTAGCCGTTACCCTCCCCAGGAACTCTTGAAGAACGAATAAAATTTCACATAAAAAAAAAGGGAAAAGAAAAAGAAAAAGACGATACACGTACAATACATATACATATTTATAAACAAAAACTAATTCAAACAATTAATAACATCGGTAATACGTACGGGCAATAATTAACGTGCATAATACTGATTCGAAATAACATTGGTGAACAATATGAAGCGGAAATAATATGAGATCATCGTTATGAGCTTATTACGATCCGTAAGACGGATGGCGCAAACAGTTTATTCTCATTCGCCAATCGGCTGGACTGAATGTCTAGATATTCTCTATAAAGAGAGAATTGACACAATCCTTTCTCGCAAAATGCATAGGCACTAGCCGTAGCCGAGCTTCTCTCATAATTCTCAGCGATTAATTGTTGCGTGCGCGACGAAAATGTACGTCCAGTTGCATGCAAGTCGAACTTTTACGGAAAACTTTATTTTCATTACCATTATGATCGACGAGACAACACAATTCACAACGCTATTAAAAATAATTGAAATGAAATAGCAATGTCGTGGCACTTTTATTTGAACGAAATAAAACTGGAAGAGAAATATCCGAACAATGATAATAATAATTATTTGACTCTTCATTTAAAAATTTAAAATATTAATTAATTAATCGATGAAATACTGAAAAGCTCGAAACTACAGACTATACCTGTTACGCACAAATTATTAACATCATTAGCAGCTATTCGTTATGATAAATAATTTCTTTTCCTCTTTTTTTTCGTTGTTGTTGCTTTATTTTGGTTTGTCTTTTAAATGATAATTACTTCCTCGAATAAATACAGTTCGTAGAATTCGTAGGAGCTATGACAATTTTTCTCATTAAATTCGAATGATTTAATTCCGTAAATACGGTGACTAGCGGCATAAGTGCAACGCGGACATACATTATTTTCTCCTTTAGCCATGCAAGCTCTCTACCCCGAGACTTTAATCACTACTCTTTATCATCGGGCTATCATTATTATCTATTTGTCTCTGCTCTGGATGTCCGATGCTCGGGTCTGATTCACTTGGGTCTCGGTACCGAGACCAAAGAAAGCATTATCCACCGTCCCAGCGATAATATCTTCCTTACGGCATCTCCCGTTAAAGCCGATCATCGCTTACTTCGTTCAGTAATCTCGAATTAACATAACCGACTGAAATGATATACATCGATGCTTAGAAGCTATTATTAAGCTTAAAAGCTATTAGTGTAGGAGAGAAGAGCTCGATTAAAATCAGCGCCTCTCTCCGAGTGTCTTTGGCTCGACGTAGCCGAAGGTGCGTGCGAGGTCCCAAAGCCTTCCTAGCTAAAAGAAAATTAAAAGTAAAAGAGGAAAAGAAAAAATAACAAATAAAATATGAAAAAGAATAAAAGAAGAAGAAAAAAAGACGTTGAAAAGCAGCGTTAATAGTTAGCGGCCGAAATGCTGAACTGGTGGACTAGTGGGTGCGGCTCGTCTCACGGGCGTCTACTTGCTCACTTGGAAGTGGGCGAGGGCGAGGGCAGGGCCAGGGAAGCCGGTAAGCTCGTGCTCGTATTGACGGTGCAGTCGAGCTTGCGGGCTTCGTGCTCGAGCAGGACCGCGTCGACCGACGGCTCCTGGCATACGGTGCGCAACGAATCGCCCAAAGCTCGCCGGATCTGCTGCATTTCCCGGCCTGTCCGTGAACTCCTGCAAGCACAGATGGTCAAACGGGAACGAGAAACGTACCAACAAAGCCAAACACTTACCGTAGAACGTACAGTTGGCGGCGCTTAATCTCCTGATTCAGCTGCTCCCTTAACGAGTGGATCTGGGAATGGAGAGACGATGCTTGAGAGAAATTATGCTTGAGAGAGGCACGCAAGCGACTATCAATCATTTTTTCACACTTTCATTTCGAATACGTAGAGAGTGTTAGGATTGGTTGGCAAGTCTCTGGTAAAGTATCGAGGCATCGATCGAAAGTCCCGATGACGTTTAATTGAATCCCGCGCGCCTACGCTCATTACGAGAATTTAATAATAATGGCAAACTACAATGTAGAGGTAGATGGTGGAGCCCGTACGTTTTTTTTTTCTTTCGATTTTTTCTCTTTCTTTCTTTTTTTTTCTTTTTTCTTCCATTTTTTTTTTGTTTTTTTTTTGTTTTTGTTTTTTTTTGTTTTTGTTTTGTTAATGAACCGTCACCACGAATGCGCTTTAAAAGTATCAAGGGCACATTGACGTATGTATCGTGTCGCGGCTTACCGCGTTCTAGCGTCGACAGCAGAACATTATCCAAAAATATTATCCTCCTCGAATGATCTATTTCTGTCGGATCGAATTAATAAAAAGTAAAAAAGGAACGTTGCCGAGCTTAGTAACGTGTCACGATGATCCTGCACCTTAAATATCTTAAGTGCCGCTAAATGGCAAATCCGACATTAAGACTCGAGGAGTGGGATCGTTCATTTTAAAGTTTGGCGTTCCATTCGACAAGGCGCCGAGAAAAACTGGACGTCGATCTCAAGTGATATTTATGCGGCCGTCTGGATGAATTAGCGAATGGATTCGCACATTCCGAGACAGCAAGATATTCGCACAGTCCGTTAATGTATGGGGATAATAATTAAGAACTCGCCCTGTTTCCCCTCGAGCGGAGGAACGGACGAAGAGAATCGATCGGGCAAGAGACTGTGAAAGTCTCGAATGACAGGCGAAATGAAGAGAGATTTGGGAGATGAAGCCCTTACCTGACTCTCGAGACGTATGACTTGTTGCCGGTGGCTCTGCTCCCTGGCCTCGAGTAGCTTCTCCGCCTGGAGCTGCGCAGCCCGGTACCGCTCGACCTCCGAGCCCCGTTCGCGCGCCAGGTCGAGGACCGAGGCCGAGTGCGAATGGACGACGACTTGGGATTTTAGTCTCGCTATTTCCCCCTCCCTGTCCGCTATCAGGCACTCCAGTCTCCGTATCTTCAGCCGCAGTTCCCGGTTCTCCTGCTCAAGTTGCTCCGGGCCGTAGCTGGAACCCAGTAGCTCGGCGTGGGCCTTCTCCTGGCGCTCGTAGCTCTTGCTGCGCATTCCAGTGGAGCGGGCGGACGATAGCTGTCGCTCGAGGCTGCGCTTTTCACTTTCCATGGACTTCACCTGAATGAACATTGCCCCATGGGGGAGTGAATGTCGAACCGTTCATTGCCGTTGCAGGGACGGAGACGCGGGCGCGCAACCACCTCCAATCCCCGTCCTCACCTTGTCGTTGAGCGCATCGACCTTGCCCTTGAGCTCGCTACGCTCGCGCTGCGTCGCCTGTAGCTGACGTAGTAATTGCTCATCCTCCCTACCAGCGCTACTCCCGGATTCCCGGGGCCAGCTGGACAAGCGCAGCTGGGCCTCGAGGCCCGAGCGCAGCACCTCGCTGTTGGCTACATCGTTCTGTAGCCGCGTGTTTTGGTCGCTCAGCAGCTGATTCGCGTGACGCAGCTCGTTGAGGCTCTGCTGCAGGTTCTCCAGCCGCTCTGAGGCGACCCGTCGCTCGCTGTCCAGGCCCGAGACCTGCTTCTGCAGCTGCGGGGATTCGAGGAGATGGGACGGTCGGTCGATTAGTAGATCATTGGATTATTGTTTACGAGGACACGATCACTAGCTGGATAACAGCGTAGCGACACGTGTTATCATTCGTCCGATTGATGAAATTTTTGAATATGAAAACCGAAACGTCACTTTCTGGATAGTGAAATAAAATGATAAAAATGTCGAGGATCGATTGAAATTTTCATCCGTGCAGTTTTAAGATTTACTATTTTTTTCTTCTTCTTTTTTTCTTTTTTTTTTCTTTCCATTCCGAGTCGTTCGAAATTTCAGGTTATTTTTTGCATAAGCTCGTGGAGGAAGAGATGCGGAATAAAAATGAGAATAAGTTGTAGCAGCAGAGGCCGAGGGCAATAGAACGTGACATTGTGGAACTTTTTTTTTCCTACCGCATAATAATAATACATACAGATTTAAATTGTAAACACGGAATACATTAACATAAATTTTTAAATCTTTCTTTTAATATGTAAGTTTTTTTTTTCTGTTAGTTATTATTATTATTTTTTGTTGTCGTTTTTTTTTTTTTTTTTTTTTTTTTTTTTTTTGGTTTTTTTTTTTTTTTTTTTTTTTTTTCATATTGAGATACGCGGCATAGATCGGCGGATGTAAATAGATCGCTTCACTCGAGGACCGACGGTTTTGTGCAAAAAATTGCCAATAGATGCGAAGTATATAAATGCTTATGTATGCTCGAGAGAAAACGTCGTAGTTACGTTGAAAATAGTAAATGATTCATTTATCCGATAAACACGGCTACTAACGATTAAAATGACATGATGTTTCGCTTAATTTTTCATCAAACTTGTATCGTTTCTTGCCTACTTTATACACTATTTACACTGCCGATAATTCTATTCATTGTATATAGGTGTGCTTGCGTGTGCGCGTGCGCGTAAAGTTAAAAGAAGGAAGCCAAGAAAATTTAGAAATTGCATATACGAGTATGGATGAAAATTATGAAAAATCTGGTAGTGCAGAATATGAAACTGTATAATAATCATAATGAGAACAAAAAGAAAAACAAAAACAAAAACCAAAACAAAGATAAAAAAAATAAAAAAACCTGTCTTATTTTATCGGCATCGTTTTGAGAATGTGCGTTAACTTCTATAAGACTTCTGTGCATGTGATTAATCTCAGCTTTCATTTCGCTTTCTGTCATTGATGCTTTTTCAAGCGAATGATTCATCTGCTCGACTGTGCTCTTGAGGGAACTGCATCGCTCTTCCAAACTAGTTATTGTTCGCGCTTGTACATCACAACGCTCTTGCTGCTTCTGCAATAAACGTAATGCATTAATTAACGCTGGATGTAAGAGTCTTTGAATGACTGTGTATTAGATGAGATGCAATGATACTTGTATGCTGGCTTCTTTTTCCTGAATGATCATTTGCAAACGCTGTAAATCACCTTCGAGGGACATTCGATGCACTTCCATTTGCGTCGCTCGATTTTCAGATTTGCTCAAATCTTCCTTTATCATTCGCTTATCACCCTCGAGCTTATTAACCGTCTGCCTCATCTTATCCAACTTATCCTAAATCCAATTAAACATTAAACCGCACATTACATCGTTATTATTATTTATATCAATATAATGAATAATTAATGTAATAAGTGTTGTCTACGATAATAGCTGGACGTACTTCGTATTGAATTTTTTCTTCAGCACCATTGCTAATCGCCATTTCAAGATAAATGACTTTTTCTCTAAACCGATCGGCTTCGTCCGTTTTATCTTGCAACTTGTCTGTCTGCCAATATGATAAAAGACGCCATTAAAGTACACGCAAACGATTATCATCGAGCTTTATGTAATTATTATCTACCTGTCCTTGTAAGAGAGTTTGTTTATGCATTAATTTCGATTCAAGGGCGTTCTTCTCGTCTTGCAAATTTCTTATATTAACCTGTAAGCTATTGAGCTTAATGTCAATCTTATTCTGATTTTCTTGCGCCTCAATTATTTGATTTTTCATACTGCCGAGCTCCGTTCTATAATCATCCTAAAAGAGTACGGAAATATTTATCATATTAGTGTACGCTCGTATTGATGCTGAATTATCGCAAACTTTAACGTTCATTCCTTACCCGTTCACGTTCGATTTGTGCGACTTGCTGCATCAGAGCTTTAACGCCTCTCCGCACGGCCTCTGGATCAACATCCAAGATGACTTCGCGATTTCCATCCGAATGCTCTTGCACTAATATAAAGATGTGCGCGATAAGCAGAATAGGGGGTAAAGTGAATTTTTGTAATGTTGACGATTAATATTATTAAAGGGATTCGCTTAATATCTCGCCGCGTTAGATTTGTTGTTAAAGAAAAAAATTTTTTTTTTTTATTCATATATACTCATTTAATGAAAGCTTTCGCTTTGAGTGCGAACAGTAAATTTATCTTAAATGACATTATTCTTCAAGAACATCGTACCAAGTAGTAAGCTTATTCTTTGAGATTATCGACCACGTTGTAAGGCAATTGAACGACAATGGATTAGGGGCAGGGGGGAGGGGATTGTTGTTGTTGTTGCTGTTGTTGTTGTTGTGATATAAAAAATAATCAGTGCACGATAACGGTTTATCGGCCCACTCCTATAAAGTATTAGTCATTATAAAAGTAATTTTCAAAAATTTGGGCAGCGGCAAGAAAGTGAAAGCGGAGCGTAACGCGTAATGTGTGGAGGAGCAAAGTGCTCTTACTTCGTACGGGACTGTATCTCCTTATGGGGCTTGAGAGCTTAAACGGCATGCTGACGCTGCCGTCCAACTGTATGCCGGCGATGCGCCTCAGGATGAGGACGACACTGCTGAGCTTTTGCTCGATCTCCTTCTTCTGAGCCTCCATCTGCGACAGTTGAGTGTCGAGAGCGCGGACGCGGCCCTCGGATCCACCCAAGCGTGCCTTCAGCTCCTGGAGCTGCTGAGTCGCGTCGGCCAGGCAGACCTCCAGGTTATGCTTCTGATCCTCGAGCTTCCTCTCCCGGCAGCGTCCGTCCTCGAGACGCGCGACCAACTCCTGCTCCCGACCCCGGGATCTCTCGTCCTCCTCGTCGGTGCGCGAGCGTAGCTTACCGAGCTCTTGGCGCGTCAACTCCAAGTGATTCTCGAGCTCCACCACCTGCCCGACAAATACACGCATTTTTCCTTTGTACCTGCAGTTCGTTTAGCCCCTGACATTTGCCGTTAAAAATAAATAATCATTGTCAGAGTCGTATACGCTGACCTGTACGATCTTATGGCAAATAGTCAGGGACTTCGCGGGATACATTTAAAATGTAAAAGTTAACGAAGTGAGAGGGGCCTGTAATTAAGAAGGATGTTTGTAAATTATTTGGTCAGTCGGATAATTTGTATGAATTGCAAGTACTTGTTTCTTCGCTTGATGCAATTGTAATTGGGCTCGCTCGCGCTCTTCTATTTCGTTAATTAGTCTTGCTTGGAGCTCCTTCTCGGTATTTTGCACTTGCGAATTGACGTTATGGGATTTTTCCAAGTCTTCTTGTATTAAACGGAATTGCTGTTGGAGCTGCAATAATTCGCGCTCCGTTTCGCGTAGATTATTTTGCAGACGATTTCGATCAGCTTCTAGCGTAGTTTTCCCGTCCTCCAATCCTAAATTAGACAATAAACATATGTTTTTGGCATATTTTACAAATGGATTAGAGATTTCCTTAACCGAAAGTGCATCTTTCTCATTATTCCTCAAATTTCCTTTAGGCACTTGTATTTAATGGATAATAAGTGCGACAATTCATGTTGCGCGAGTTTTGGTTAAACTGCATTAGTTTATCATTTATTTACCGGAAATTTTTTGATATATTTCCTCTAATGTGCGAGCCTGCTCCCTTTTATCCCCTTCCACTTGCTTTATTCGCTCTCTCAACTCTTTATTACTGCAGTTGTACTTGTCCTTTTCATAATTTGAGTCAGCCAATTGACGGCGTAGGTCGACAAGTTCTTTTCGAGAACTTTCAATCGTAATGTCGGCTAAAAGTATCGTCGGTATTTCAAATATTTATAATTGATTATTAACGCTATAATTATTATTATCGTAATAACGATGAGGAAAATTACCTTCTTTAAGTTTTCGAATAGTTTCTTGAAGCTGATTGTGAAGCTCGTCTACTTTATCCTCCGACATGTGAAGTTGCACCTGCAGCTCTTCAATTTCTTTTAAAGCATTTTCCCTTTCGTTTCTGACCTCCTCCATTTTTAATTCGAGCTTCAATTTATCTTCGTCTCCTTTGAGCTTTGTTTCATCTAATTTGCCTTTTATTCGATTCAATTCGTCACGTAATTTATTCAAACTGTTACGATCTTGCTCGGCGTGAGTTGCAGCCTCTCTTCGAGCTCTATCCAAACATCCTTTCTCTCCTTCTAATTCTCGATAAACGTTTTCTAATTTTTCCATTAAAACTTGTTGATCTTGATGGGCTGTAAGAAATATTTTATTCACATATTTATAAACATTGTTTTTCTATTGTTTAAAAAAAAAAAAAAAAAAAAAAAAAAAAAAAAAAAAAAAAAAAAAAAAAAAACCCTAAATTATACATGTAGAAATATTAAATAGATATTAATTTACCGATTAACAAAGCTTGTTGTTTATCATTTTCAGCTCTCAAAAGAATTTCCTCGTGTTGTTGACATAAGCTTTCTAGATGATGTTGTAATTCCTCGATTCTTTGCTGCAATTGATTTATTTCATTGTCTTTTTCATTTCCTAGTTGAAACAAACTTTGTTGCAATTTTTTCTCCAATGTAATTTTTATGTTTTCCTAAAGATAATACAATACTTAATTAATAAGACGTTAAACTCCGTCGAATGTAATAATACTAAAGTGACAAATAGAATCGCGTTTCTTCCTAATAAATTTGCTTATGTATACTTTAATGCATATCGATACTTAAATTTGCGGATACTTAAATAAACATTTGTTAATTTAATAATTTAATTTGTTATTCATTATCGTATATGCGAGCAAATTCGTTAACAATTATTGCGCAATTAGAAAGTGCTATATTACACGGTATAACGTGTGCTTTTGGAAAAATCATACTTTTTCATCGTTTAATTTTTTCATTGCATCGTCGTTCTGCTTCTTCATGTTGGTTAATACGGACTGAAACTCGGCTTCCTGCTTTTCACTAAATTGCGATAAACTTTGTTTGATGTCTCGAGAATGTTTTTCACTATTTTCCAGTTCTTGTGCCAAGCGATGAGCTTGATTCTTCAAGCCTTCCTGTTTTATCAATAAATCCTGCTTCTCCGCTTCCAATTGAACTTTCTTCGCGTGAATCGTCTCCAAATTACTTTGTGTATCGAAGAGGATAGCTTCGAGTGTCTCTTTCTCGCTGCGCATCGACACGAGGACTTCCTGCAGTCTTTGAACTTCCTTCTCGCCGGTTTCCAATAGAACCTAAACAATATTAAGATACTATAATGATGAATATTCGCGATTCGCCTAGGACACGAATAATGAAATTCGAAAATCGACGTTATCTCGTCAAATTCAAACTTATCTTTACCTGCTTCTCCTCGTTGTCCTTAACGAGATCCTCCAGATTTCTATTGATTCTCGCATTCATGTCACCGGCTTGCTCGAAACGCTGTTTCAACCTCATTAGCTCCTCATTAAGCGTTTCCTTTTTCCTTGCCAAAATCGACAGCTGATTACTCAGATCTCCCCTCTCCCGGCCTAACTGTGACAGCTCCATCTCCACCTTCTCCTTTTCGATCTCTAGGAACTTCATTTTCTCGTGAATGGTTACTTTCTCGGACTCGAGATCCAGTCTTATTTGCTCGGCTTGTAAAATTTCTTTCTTCAACGAGCTGAGATCCGCCTGCTGATCGGCGCACTGACTCAACAGCTGACTCTTCTCGTCGTTAATTTTTTTCAACTCCTCTTGTAGCCTCGCGATGTCTTGCTCGTGCCCCGAGCCAACCGCTTGTTGTTTCGCAAGTATCTCTTGCAAATCCGATTTATCCAGGAGCATTCGCTCAAGCTCTATCTCCAAGTCACCCTTGCCCTTCTCCACCTGGCCCAAATACCTTTCACACTCGAGTTTCTGCTGCTCGAGCACGTCTTTAGCCAAATACGCTTTGCTCAGTTCCTCGCGTAAGCTCAACACTTCCTCTCGATGCTTACTCGAACGATCTTCCTCCGCTCGTAAATTGCTTTCCTGTAGCTCGGACTCCCTATTCAGCCGGTCCAACTCGCTCTGCAAATAAGATTTCTCATCCTCAAGATTACGACAGAGTTTCTCCAACTTCCCGTTAAGCTTCTCGATCCTGTCATATTCCCCGCTCAAGTTCTCTATCGCGCCGGCATACTCTACTCGACTCTTATCTAAATTAACTTTCTCACTCCGAATACTATCCAAAGCTTTCTGCAGCATGTCTTTCTCTTGCGATAATTGCGAAATCTGCGCTCTCAAATTATCCAATTGAACGATGAGTTCTGCATTTTTCTCATCCGACAGCACTGCACGTTCCTCTAAATTTTCCGACTGTTTGCGACAGAGTCCCAGCTGCTCCTTGCTCGTCGACAGCTTCACCTACGCTCATCACCCAAAGTATCGTTGTAGTTTTAGGGTTCTTTTTTTTTTTTTATTTTTTTTTTTTTTTTTTTTTTTTTTATTTTTTTTTTATTTATTTTTTTATTTGTTTTTTGTTTTTTGTTATTTTTTTTATTTTTTTTTTTTTTGTAATGAAAATATATATAGCTCGAGCATGTCTCGCAACTCGTGATAATGCAAAAATAATCAGGCCTTTCATTATATTTGGCATTACTTTGTACTGCTTTATACTGCTTAATGATACGCGGATCATACGTGTCGCAATAAGTGTCGACCATGCGAGCATCTTAAGCGCAACAGCATTAAGCCTTAATGAACCAAACGCTGGAAATAGGTAGAAATGATGGGGCACCTGGAGCTCGTGTATGGTCAGTTGATACTTGTGAAGAGATGCCTGGACGGCGCTTATAGTGCTCTCGGCGAAGGCTGGCATCGCGTTGCTGCGCGTCGACCTCTTGAGGCCACACGGAATTATCGTAGCACTCGGGGACAGATGTACGTGGGGTGTCGTCTGGCCATTGCCGCTATCTGTCTCGCGCATCTCCGCATCCTGAATGACGGCATGAGCGATGTCGCGGAGAGCCGACTGCAGGATCTCCATGTCCTCCTGGACGCGTAGCCTCTGACTCGCGCTGCTCTCGGCCTCGGCGCACTTGTCCTCCAAAGCCTGGACCTAATGGCAAATTTGACGTGTCTCGCGTAAGAGGAACTCGCGTAAGAGGAACTCGCGTAAGAGGAACTCGCGTATAGGGGACAGTAGCCTCGTGACTATAAATAAGCCCTACGGAATATGAATATCGAACCTCTCGGGCGAGCTGCTGAATGCGCTGCTCCTTGTTACGGATGTCAGCCTTGGCGGCCTCGAAGCCCTCCTTTATGGACTGCAGCTCGGCCTCGTTGATCGGCTGGACGCGATTAGCCTGCTGGGAGGGAAGCATCGACGACGCCGCCTGTAATTTAAGGAAGAAGCTCGTGCTACTGCAGGCGGTGAGGGTGTCGTTGGCTACGCCGTTCATCTCGCCGCGGAGCTTCGTGAGGTCGCGCTCAGTAGCGAACTTCATCTCGGAGAAGAGCCGCTTAACCGAGACGACGTCGCGCCAGAGATTCAGCAGCCGATTGTGCTCGGAGCTATAGTACTCATTGAAGGCCATCTCTTCCTCCTTCCACTCCTCTTCCTTGGCTGACATCTCCTCGCGCAACGAGTCCCACTCGCTGCTCAGCTTTTGCAGGTCATTCGTCAGAGCTTCGTTCGACTGATGCGACTCCTCCAGCTGCTCCTTAAGACTTACGTTCAACTGGAGCAGCTTCTCGCATCTGCGCAAATGTTCAGGCGAAAGAGGGTCGTGAAGGTTCCTTACTTATACATCCAAGCGAAAAAGCCACTTTATTATTCTTTATTCTGTACACGTCTTTTGGATAATTATAATTTAATTTATGCTGCTTTTGAATCAACCCATCGGTCATTCGCAATGTCACGTTATTTAATGAGTAAAAAGTATTGCATGTCTCTTTAATTAGAACATTATTATAAATAATATTAGGATCGAATTTTTATTAATTGTCACTCGATATGATTTAACTTTAGCAAATAAATGTATTCAAAGACGATCAAGATTTTTAATTTCAATCGAAAGTATACAAAAAATAAGGCATATGTATATATATATAATAACAATAGTGCTCGAGTATTAGGTAAATTGGACTTGGCTAACATGGAAGTAATATAAAATTCAATTCGAGTATTAGATGTCGATGAAATAAAATACCTGTTCCTTTCTTCGTTAAGCTTCTTGAGTGCGGTATCTAGATCGCTTATTTGCTCTTCTCGCATTTCGCGCATAGTTTTCTGCGCCGCTTGTAATATTAGCTGGCTAGGAAGAGAACTGGTTAAAAGATGATCTTCGTCGGCTGGGAGAGATTCGACCATTTGATTTTCGAGTTCCAAACATCTTTGTTTGTATTGGAGTACCTGCATGGAAGAACAATACGACTTGTATGGTAAACACAACTATTAAATAGCACGCGTCTGACAAATTTTTATGAATATGTGTGCATATAATGCTCTTTTGCTCTATGAACGTAAAGCAATTAACACATTTAACATCATGAAAATAAAAACAACGCGTATTATAATTCCTTTGCAATTCAAGAGTAGGAAACATTTTTTAAACTTAAATTGCTTCGATTCAATTATAAAATATTTATTTCGAGAAAGCCGTTAATATTTCAAAAAACAAAACAAAAAAAAACTAATTATTCGTCTATTGTTCTTTTTTTTTTTTTTTTTAAAGTTAACTCGTACGATTTCAATAGAAATGTTTAAAAAAAAAAACAGCTATAAATATTCTCAAAATAAATCCTTTAAAATCTACCTACTTGCTTGAATGTTATTTTTCATAATGATATTTTCAAATGGCGTGTAGTCCTAGCTTGTAATAAAAAAATATTATTGAAGGAATATTATTTCAAATTTTTACATTTATTCACGCAAAAATATGATAAAAAAAAAAATTCAACATACTTACTGCGAGTGTGTGTAAAAATTATCATTAATAAAATTAAAATAATTGCAAATATATTATCATTAAATTATTTAGTATATTAATATAGGATTACGCTTGATAAATATCGAATCGATCTCTTATTTTTATTATAAAATCCTGAAGTCATAAAATTGCAGTCCTGCGAATAATAGCTAACAATTTTTATTTTTCATCACTGAGCACATTTTCTTACAGTATAATTATTTAAAAACTTATTTGTCGTTGCTAAACTCTTGTATTATATTCTGCTCGGTTGCATGTCATGAGTAATAATAGAAGAGCAAAAAAATCATTAAGAGAGAGAGAGAGAGAGAGAGAGAGAGAGAGAGAGAGAGAGAAGATATTACTTTGGCCTGCAAACGGGAAACGAGTGCCGCTTGATGCTGCTGTGCTTGTCGATAAGTGTCTAGTCGTCGTTTATAACATGCTGCTTCTTCTTCCAAACGATGACGCAATTCATAATTTTGCTTCATTAAAGTATCCGAACTAAACTTTTCGTCCGCTTCCTCGTCTCCATTTTCATCCGAGTCCCTTCGACTTGTATCCATTTTACTGGTCTTAATTTTGCTTGAAAACTGCAATTGAACAATCCAATAATTTGAATGAAATACGATCAAGCGCGATAAAGAGCTCTTATTCGCAACTTTATTTATATTCTAACGTGTAATTTTTTTTTTTTTTTTTTTTTTTTTTTTTTTTTTTTTTTCAAGCTTTTCTTTTAATAATAATTACTGTAAATGTTACTTGTTACTTCTGGTGAAAGAGTCACCGAAGTACACTAGCATTTCAATTTGTAAACAAAGTCTACAATCGAATTAACGGCAGCCCAATACAATATTTAATACTTTTCCATTAACGTAAATTAAACAATATTATATTTATAAATACCTCCTTTGGTTTTGCTGGTCCTTTGGCGGTTGCTGGTCTGCGCCTATTCATTTGTTCCCTTAAAGTGAGCGAGGCGATCTTTGGTTGTTTCTAAGACAACATTTTTTTTTTAAGATTAATTCAATAATATGCATACAAGCATTACGATATAAAAAATATTCTTTAAAATATCGTATATTTTTAATTCAGCTAATGCAACTCTTATAAGTAAAATATACAAATATCTTAAACGTGTAATGCATAATTTCATGAAAATTCCTTAAAAAATTCCAGAAAACATTGTCAAAAAAAAAAAAAAAATAAAAAGAAGAAAAAAAGAAGGATCCTTTCAACAAAGAGAATAAAATCAAAATGAAATCAAAAATAAAAACAAACAAACAAACAAACAAACAAACAAACAAAAAAAATTAAAATCCACTTTTTATATATTCTTTTAAGCTTTTAAGCTACGAAAAATGCTAGTAAAGTAAGTATTTTAACTTTTGTGTTTAGTTTCCGTCACTTTGATTATCTTCGTAAATGTCAATACGCAGATAATACGTATTGACGAACGTGAAGTTAAAGGCAGCAGTATATTTGAGAAGAATAACAACGGTCACTTACGCAAGGAAATGATGAAAGGTAATTAAAAAACAAACAACAACAACAAAAAAAAACAAAAAAAAAAACAGAAAAAAAGGTATATAATAAATAAAGGAAGATGCGAGGAAGGATGGGGTAGTCGTGACTGGCGGTGTATCGCGTGATTAAAAGCGCGTTTACGATGTCTCCCCTTCGAAATCGCTCGACTCTACCCATTCTTTTTCCAAGCAATAACCTTCTCGTACGTAGGTATATGAAATATGCTCTTTTATTACCGCTGGATATCATATCCGATGAGTAATAAATATAATTGGAGATAATGGAATTTCGAGCAATAGTAGGACATTGGTAAAATATGACGGACTTGCATGAGAACGAAGCGCATTCGACGGAGATTAAATGCTCGGATAATCGTTGTAAGATTATGGTAGAAATGATATTATGATGTTGAGGAGGAAAAATTATCGAATAAAAATGCTAAAAATTAATTAACAAGTCTGTCAATGTCACTTGTCGTCAATCGTCGCGACTCGAAGAATGTATCTTCGGAATATCGACAAAGGGGATTCGTCGGTCCTATTTGAAATCCCATTCGAATCATCGAATTAGCCCAACATGCCATATTCGTACTAATAATTACAATTTATTCAACTAATTGCAAAATTTTATTCATCATGATATGACAATGTCATTATAACGTGATTAATTCATAGACATTGATGATTGTACGATAAACCTTTGGCAATTGTTTGATGTCGATCTATCGATCATCAGCCTTGCATATCGAAAAATTTCACGGCCCAATGAAAAGAGCATTTGACAACATTTCCCAAGCGTGAAAGTACACGAAGCCCTTAACGACTAACCGAAATTTTAGACCAAATGCCTCCGCGCTAATTTCTAATTAACCTTAAGCGTCGGGGCGCACGGATTATGATAACGACGGGCTAGAATGCGCCAGGGCATCAACGAAACATAACGAATGATCGGCCGAAAAAGATCGTCTCGAGTGGTTGTGATGAGCGAGCGAATTGGTCGGTGAGGGAGGTAGGGTGGGAGGCGTCGGAAGGGAAAATCATCGATTAGATCGCAGCCGCTCGGCGGACTTACTTGGAGATATCTCGGGGAAAAGTAATGCCGACGGCTGCTATAGGAACACGCACGGTCGCCTTATTGGAGGATGAAAGAGAGCGGAAAAGAGCGCGGGAGTCAGGATAAGATGCGGGGGAAGGAGACAAGAGATGTAACTCTGCGGCCGACGGGTAGACACACCTGGTACCGAAAGGTACCAATCGATCGGGAGCGCAGCCCGAGCTTTCGACGTCCCAGGCAAGTTTGCCGAGCCCGGGATATAACCCGTACGCCCTGAATCCCACGCGCTCCCGTAGATGAGTCGAGATATAGACCTCCGCTCGCGATTAATTGATCCTAAGGTCGGCTAAATCTCTCATCTGTAATCGCGCTTCCCCATTCCCGGAGCTGATCTCCGATGCTCGTATCGAGTCCCCTTCAGCCCTTTTTACACTCGATTTATACTCTACGTCGTCTTCTCCACTCGTCTCTTTGCCGTTAATGCAGTCTCACGAAGAATACATAACTTGACATTCCATTGATTAATCCCTGCTCAAGTTGCACCACCAGTACCTTACAATTTCAAAATATTACGGCCATCTTCACAAATCCTCCAAGACCCATAATGTGCCGATAAAAATATTCTTCTCACCGTAACTCTGCCTTTAATCATAATACCGAATTTTATATTATTATTATCCTATCGTTTACTATTATTGATTGGAAGATCTTACCGAATGTCTCTATCGTACATTATATATATATATATATATATATATATATATATATATTCTTAAATTGACTGATTAGGGAAGCTTTGTAATTTGAAATACTCTGTATTGACGTGTTTTCATGAGCACGAGATAACGACTGTGAGATTAAGTTGTAAAACTTCCAGTGACTTTTAACCGCTTAAAAAGGCATGAAAGCTTACGATAACAACGATCTTCATCGGATTACAAAGATTTTCATTGAGAATTTATCTGGAACGGCACTATAGATCCAGCTTATACGTCAATTATAAAAGTCAATTCGTATCGACGACCCATGCAATTGCAATTGGACGTCGAGTTGGAATTAAGCATGGAAATTTTCCAAGTTTTCATTTATTAATTTGTTATTCGCGGTGAAATCGACCGAATGATTATTCTCTTAAATTGCCGTGGAGTTGGAAAAAAATTGATTAAAATATGGCGATATCGCGCATAGACTCGTTTCGGCTTAATGAAGTACGACTGGGGTAAGTAGCGAAGAGGAGAAAAGGAGCTTCAGCAAAGGGAAAATAAATGCGAGATCGCGGGGTTCGAGTTAGGCCGTACACGCCCCGATGGGATTCATCCGTTCCGTTTGCTTAAAGTACGTAACGATTGATAATCGCAACCAAAGTGGATTGTGAAATTGTTACGGTGAAAGGATGAGCGCGCGTAGGACGAGAAGTTCTCCACCCGCGATAATCCTCTTTACAAGTTAATTCGTCCCGTTTCGGCTAATTGACCTGGCGATGCCCGATAAACTGCTTCGAGCACGACAAGCGCGGCTCTTCCCAACTATTTATCTCCCATTTAAATTATTTGCATCGCTCGTTGCTCGCGATCAAAATCGCGCGATTAATTCCCCTAAATTGATGAATCGCAGTTAAATTTTTTTTTTATCGATTTTCCAATCCTGTTTATTATATCTGCCACGTTAAATTTAGATTTAGCCTGTTAAATAAATTATTTTTAAATCCTCTTGTTTTGAGGATGAAATTTTCTCCGATTTTCACGTGAAATGTTATGGAATTTTCTTAAAATACAAACCGCCAAACAAGTTATTGATCCAAATAACTTTTTCTTTCGCGACGTTATTTTCTGTTTTTTTTTGTTTGTTTTTTGTTTTGTTTGTTTCTTTAGGCTAGATTTCATCAATCTAATTTTAAATCTCAACCTTGAATAAACATCCAATCTCATTTCTAAAAAAAAAAAAAAAAAAAAAAAAAAAAAAAAAAAAAAAAAAAAAAATATATATATTTTCTTAAATCGATATTTATTAGACAGTGATTTTATAATACAAATATCGTAAAGTGTGCTATTTTCCGTAGCTCTTGCGTTTTGCGAAAGCCACGAGCAAATGGCAATTAAATTATCAACAAAAAATTCGACAATTGCCTTTTGGATAAGACGTTTATCATGAATTCGTTTTGTACACACAAACAAAGTAATTTAACCAACGAATAAACTTGACTCATTAATAGTTGAATAACGCTCATATCCATTGGACAAAACTGAAGCCTACGATCCTACTTCGAACGAGGAGTATAATAATTTAATAATTTAATAATTTAAGGAGAAACACACAGATATAAGCCTTTCTTCGATAACGACATATAATACTTCTTTAATCGCGGATTAATGTACTTTTATCCACACTTATTTATAATTTTTCCTCATTTTAATGTAAAGGCGCATTAAAATTAAAATTTTCATATCTTTTTCATACGTATCTATCAATAGTCAGTATAGCCAAGTGGCTTTATTAAACATTTTATTTAATATGTTATTTTTAATGTTATTTTTAATCTTCATGAGTACGGTTAGTTTCCCTTTTAAAGTGCATCGCAATATTTCATTTGATTTCAAGTAGTTTAAGAAAATTATACATTAGTATATTCAATAATAGCACATCATAAGAAATGTGATAAATTTTCTGACACTTACGAGCTGTACCAACGACTATTTCAAATATGCCTGGCTTAACATCTTACACCCAACGCCTTCTGATAATATTTCACCAACAAATTAATGTATATATATTTTTATGAAATTTAAACAATAATAAATGGAAAAAAAAATTTTCTTTTAATAATCAAGTAACGACAGCGACGACGACGGCGGCAAATAGAAAAATGGTTTTAAATCTAATTTTATGTATGTTTTTGTTGGATTAACGATTCACCGAAAGTTGAATCTACTTTTCGATACGACTCGTGGGGGATTTCTGTTAGCAGCAAATGGTAATTCTGGTCAACGACGGCAATGTTTATTTCATTACAACATGACAAGTATATGCCGATTAAAGTATACAAACGCTCTACTAAAACAAACAAAAACAAAAACAAACAAACATAAAACGAAACAAAAAAAAAAAATAAAGGGAAAAAAAGTATTCACTTAATTCTTAACAATCGATACTTCGAATCATGATTCGCATAAATCTACAACCGTAACTCAATCATTGTAGTCAATCGGATAGTCGCACTATTGGAATAAAAAAAAAAAAATTTAACGACTCGTTCAGTGCGATAAAAACGCCGACACACAACGCCGGCATGATAAACGAAATAACGGCACGTAAAGCGAGAACATACAATGTCAATAGCTACAGCCGAGCATCTACCGTTTAGCCGCAAAAGGTGTTTGCGAAACGTCAGCCGGACAAATTCGACG